GGCGGCTGTTCTACGGATCCGTTCCAAGAACACCGCCCCTGGGCCAGACGGGGTACCGGCCCGAGTGCTGGCCCTGGCCCTCAACCACTTGGCAGACCGCCTCGGGGAGGTGTTCGACGCTAGCTTGGCGTCGGGACGCTTCCCTGAGTGCTGGAAGAGAGGGAAGCTGGTCCTATTGAGGAAGCCGGGACGGCCTGCCGATTCGGTCGCGGCCTATAGGCCCATCGTGCTGCTGGACGAGGCGGGCAAATTGTTTGAGAGGGTTCTTTCTGCCCGCATCGTCCGGCACCTCTGCGAGGTGGGCCCCGATCTGTCGGACGCCCAATTTGGTTTTCGGGCGGGGCGTTCGACAGTCGACGCTGTGTTGCGCCTGAGGGCCGTGACCGAAGAGGCCGTGAGCTGTGGCGGCGTGCTGTTGGCGGTGTCATTGGACATCGCCAACGCATTCAATAGTCTGCCATTCAGCTGCATCAGGGAAGCACTCCACTATCATGGGGTGCCAAAGTACCTGAGGCGGCTGGTGGCAGACTATTTAGAGGAGCGTACCGTCGTGTACGAGGACCGAGAAGGTAATTTGAGGAGTCGGCCCATGTCGTGCGATGTTCCACAGGGGTCTGTTCTTGGACCCCTCTTGTGGAACATAGGGTACGACTGGGCCCTTCGCGCCGATTTCCCCCCCGGGCTGGGTGTAATCTGTTACGCAGACGATACCCTGGTGACAGCCCGGGGGGCAAACTTCCAAGAGGCGGCGCGCCTGGCCACAGGGGGAGTCTCCCTGGTGGTCGGGCGCATTGAGGCGCTGGGCTTACGGGTGGCCCTAGATAAGACGGAGGCCCTGTTATTTCATGGGCCCCGTCGTGGTCCACCCCCTGGCGCCTCAATCGTGGTCAACTCGGTCCTCGTACCGGTTCGGGCCCAGATGAAATATCTGGGCCTGATCCTCGACGGGAGGTGGCTCTTCGACGAGCACTTCCGACAGCTTGCTCCAAAGCTGGTCGGCGCTGCGTCTGCCCTAGGGCGACTTTTGCCCAATATGGGTGGACCCAGCGTCGCGACAAGACGGCTGTACACGGGGGTTGTCCGGTCAATGGCACTGTACGGTGCACCGGTGTGGGCGGCGGCTCTGACCGCCCAGAATAGGGTACGCCTCTGGCGCCCTCAGAGGGTAATGGCGGTCAGAGCCATACGCGGTTACCGCACCGTTTCGACGGAGGTGGCGTGCGCGTTGGCCGGAACTCCCCCGTGGGATTTGGAGGCGGAAGTGCTCGCCGAAGTTTATCGGCGAGTGGCTGACTACCGGGCGGAGAGCGGATTTCGCCCTCCGCCCGAGGATGTGCGCGAGTGGCGCGAAGCCGCTCGCCGAGCCACGATGGCTCGTTGGTCGTTCCGGCTGGAGACTCCACGCGCTGGCTTCGCCGCCGTGGAGGCTCTCCTAGCCGGTCATCGCCGAGTGGGCAGGGCGGCAGCACGGGACCCTTTCCTTCCGACTGACGCAGGTGCTTTCCGGGCACGGTTGCTTCGGAAAGTACCTGCACACGGTCGCTAGGAGGGAACTGAGTCCCGCCTGCCACCACTGCGACTGCAGTGAGGACTCGGCCCAGCACACGCTGGCGGTCTGCCCCGCATGGGCGGCGCAGCGCCGGGCCCTCACTGCAGTCATCGGAGTGGATCTCTCGCTACCGGCCGTAGTACGCTCCATGGCCGGTAGCGACAGTTGTTTTACCGCGGTCGCAACCTTCTGCGAGGTAGTAATCTCGCGGAAGGAGGCGGCGGAGAGGGCCCGGGAGGACGACCTCCACTCGGACCCGATCCGCCGCCGGCGAACCGGGCGGCGGAGGCCCGCCTATCACAGCCTCATGCCGCCCTGAGTGTGGCCGCGGGTGGACGGGGTGGGTTTCCCCTCCACCCGCATTAGTTTGGCCAGCCGCGAGGGGGCGGCGTCCGCGTGTGCCGGACGTCGCCTATAAAGAGAGGAAAAACACTGAGACGGAGCCCGCACCAGGAGCGGGCTGGCGCTAGGAGGGGTCCGGATGTCTTAACAACAGCTGTTCCCGGATCCCTCCTGTTACAGGCGCAGAGTGGCACACCGTGTGGTTTTAGTCGGTCCGAGTCCGACACACCACCCCGCCGCAAACCCCGGAGGGGTGACGGTCCGAGGGGATTTCCACACGTTAAAAAAAAAAAAAAAAAAAAGGGTTTGTGTCAAGTTTTCCTTCTCTAGTAATATGTCAAAAATAATTAATAATTAATTAAAATAAATGAACACTAAAGAAAATCAACGCAATTAATAAAATAAATACAAATAAAAAGTTAAATACAAAGTACAAATAGGTATACAGCTGAGAATTAGATAAGAACAAGGATATCGGACAACTGGATGTGTGGATGGTTTCCCTAACCACTATACTTTAATAATTTATTCAGCCGGTCGTTTAGGTGATTGGTTGAGAATAAATATTCCTAACTGCAGTGCTATTCTCTGCGTTGCTGTGGCAGCTTAGAGCACTCAATCAGAGCGCTGTACGCAAGTGGGTTGAGTGGTCTGTTGGTATCAGTCTTTACCCTATTCATACATCCAACACAGTCGCTTATCTAATGGGTTACAGAATTGAAAAGAGCTCAGTAGATCAAGTTGTGAAGATTTAACTTACATTTAATGGCAAAAATTGACTCTTAATTTGCAGGTGTTCATGGGCAGAGCGCGTTGTGTGGTTTTCGATCGGTTCGTGTCCGACATAACAACTGGTGGGTCCCGAGGGGATTTCCGCACAGGCAAAGAAAAAGTGTAGTCACTTACCATCAGATGACCCTTCTGTTCGGTTGCCCCTCTATACCAAACAAAAAAAAACGTTACAGTTCAGATGGTCGAATAAATGTCAAATGACTAAAACCAAAGCTAATTTCGTTTGGAAATTTCTAAACTGAATCTCGAAACGTATGATGAAATGCAGCATAATCTGGATCAATTTTGATGTCGTGTTGTCACCACGTATAAGACGTAGGTCCACCATTTTGACCCCGAAACCAAAAGACAGTAAATCTTAGAAACGACCATCCTCTTCGCCTACTAAGAAATTTCTGTTTGCTGGTAAAATTATTGATTCAGTGTCACGGGATACTAGTGAAGGAATCGTTTTTATTGATTATATGCCTAAACGGCAAACTAGTACTGGAACCTATTATGTAGATTTAATCCCAAAAGTGCGTAAAGTGATTAAAGAAAAAAGTCGTCTTAAACTGACATGGGGCGTGTTATTTTTTCACGATAACGCTCAGTCACCACCACTCACCAATCGTAAGTTGCCCTCTGGGGAATCTCAGGACACTCTGGACACCCATCATATTCTCCAGTTTTGTTTTTTACTTACTCCCAAAATTAAAGGAACGTATCCGTGCAACTAAATTTGAGGATGATGACGCAGTTATGAGTATACTTATTTATGAATAAGAAAGCTAAGAGAAGCCGTAGGTATTCTAAATGCATTAAATTAGAGGGAGCTTAGGTATGCAAAAAAATAAAATATTTTCGTTTGAATTCTCTCGTATTTTTATAGCAATTCCAAGAACTTTTTGCTTCACCTCGTATGTACTAACAAGGCATGAGCGTCCTCTGTTGTTTTAATTTTAACTATTACGAGTAGTAACAGATAAATATTCCCAATCTTAAATGATACGCTGTTTAGAATAGTATTGAAGATATAGAAAAAAAAAAGAATTTTTCATTTATTTTTATTTGGATAGAATTTATAATCAAGTCAAATCCAGTGTAACATAACAAGTTTTAATTTTAGATAAATTTATGATTATTTAAAAACTAATTACAATTCTTATAGGGTTAAAAATGTTTAAAACACAGTTTCTATCGTCCATGAGGACCATTTCTATGCACACGTAACATATACATTATTAAGAGTGATTGTAATTTTCACTATCTTACGCTACTAAACTACCTACCTGTTTGAAAAACGTGAACTCAACATGTCGATACAAATCAAATGCTAACCCCAGCTGTTGATATAGGGCAAATCTAAGGCAAACCTTTCGAGTAGATATATTATTGCATAAATATTGATTTGCGTTACATATTGTAAATATACATTTGTCCGGTAATGGTTTACAGGAGCCGCAAACCCCCTATCCCCCTAGTTGTGGAGGGAACTTCAAGGTTGGCAACGCATTTGTGACTCTTGAGTTGCAGATATCCATGAGCGACGGCTGTTACTTACCATCAAGAAAAAAAAGTTACAGGTAATTAGAAACTGATCCAAAAGTATACTTGTATATACCAGCATCTATTGCAGAATATAGTGTCAAAAGACTACTGTCACTCGATTGGTCAAATTACTTTCTGTAGTGTGTACTATGGATGCAAAAAGTGTGAAATAGTGCTCACAAGTTATAGAGAACTATTAATATGGAATTATTTCATTGTAAGACAGGTCAATTAATAATTAAATTAATTAAGTAATAACCAGTCAGTGTATCTAACTAACAACAAAGATAAAAATAAAATTGATGGAATGAGTGATGAGATGAAATGAATAGGTATAAGCGAGAATAGCTTTAAAGTTAATGTAAATTAAGTTTTTAGACAAGACAGTAGAGAATGGGTGGCCCTAAATTAGAAAGAAGTTGGGCAAAACGATTTTTTTATTGGCGTGTCAGCATATACGAGTATATTATAGATAAGGTACATGCTTATACAGCATCGCTCTAGACAAGCGAGCGCGTTCTGCATTGGGATTGGTTAAAATTTCAGTCGGGCCAATCGTAGCGACGAACGCGGTCACCGGGACGATCGAGTAGATGTGAAATAAACTCGCACTTGGGCCTCATAACCAATGATCGTGCTCTTTAGGGTAATGTTTGCCCTGAGAGGACATCGTCTTTAATGGTATAGGAGGGGGAAAGAGTACACTGGTCATCTCACTTTAAGTGACTGTCGCCATCCATGGACAACTGCAACTACAAGAGATACAAATGCGGTCAAGATACTTCCTTCAAAACTCCATTAGAAAATTTGCCATGTTGTTGGCCTCAACTGAATAAGCGGGATAATCGGATCCATCCATTTCAGGAGCATGCCTGTTACTTGCTAAAAGTTTATGCTTGGTGCCTCCTACTGCGTCTCCACAATCTGGACATCTACCAATTACAGTAGCTCCACCACATCTATCGATGCAGTAGTAATGACCGTTGGGACATTTAAACCAATGACCGGCTTTCAACCCAACTGCTCTTACAATCATCTCTCGCTCTAATTTAGACACATGAACACTTGCTTTGATCTTTGTTTTTAGTATAGTCAGGGTTTCTATAGCTTTATCTTCATTAAACACAAACGTAGTTAACACTTCATTTTTAGCCGCATTAACGTAATGTTCCAAATTTGGATCATCTTTCTTATCTCGCCAGATTTTTAGCAATGGAGCTAGTTGTACAATAGCATTCAAACGTTTTATTTCATTGCCTATATCTTTTTGTTGCTGTTCACTTATCTTTATGGGTACTTTGGATTTCGAGTCAATCTTCAATACTTTCAGAATTATTCTTATACGTTCCTCCAGTTCTTCTTCTAAGGTTGAAGGTTTTACCTTTTGAAAATTTTTCCAGCTTTCGGTTACCATTTCAATCACATCGTAGTATATGAGTAGCATCTCCACTTGCAAGAGATACATTTGTTTCTTTGGTCTTAAAAAAAGTATTAGTTCTTCTAAAGTTTTCTTTAAACCAGCATGCTCTAAAAAAAAATGTTTTTTACAGTAATTCATTACTTACACAGAGATTAGGCTTATAGAAATAGTACTAAATAAACCATGTATTAGTTATTTATCTGGGTTTTATGCATAGTACATCGGCTTTTATGGTAGGTTCATAATATATAAAAAGATTATGAATCTACGACGGATCAGCCACAAGGATAAAAAGTTGAAGAACTCGTAAAGGGATAAAACTTAATGTACACTAACAATATCTTAATTTTTTTGTAATTTCCCAATGGGTCAAGGTGACATTGAAAGGGAATTGCAGGCACAAAATATTTATTTTTAACATCGAAAATCTAATTGGTGGACTTCTTGTAGTTAGACTTTCATTATCGACCAGAATCAACGTGAACTTCGATGGATGGTGAAGTTAGATATTCTCAATCATTGTTTGAACGAAGTATTTACAAAGTAAAGTATTTTGCATCTTCAAATAACAACTCATTTTTAACCGACTTCATTTATAATTTTTAGTGTTCTTTGTTATTAGTGTTTTAAGTTGGTTCAAAGTTTTTTTTAAAAGGAATTATCGATAGCAGCAAAAAGAGAAAAGCTATAAACATAGAAATATTGTTATACATTGAAAGCTTCCATAACATCGACGTGATCCTAGTAGATAGGTACTTACAGACTTATATACTTATATTTATAATAGTAATAACTACGAGTAACTGACAAATTGTTTACGTACCCAAGTTTAAAGAAGATACTTTCGTAAGTAGTTGTGTTAGCTTTGTGTTTATTTCTGTGTTTTTTCCGTATATTCGACGTTTTATTGGGTTAATATCGTTTCTAAACATATTGTTCACCAAATCTTTGTATCTTTTCGTATTAATAATTGGCTTACGACAAAACGGGCACTGCCTTATTTTAATATCCTCTTGATTGCCCATCATTAGATTGTCCATGTTCTCCAGTTCCAGCACATGGCCACAATCTTCCAGTAAAATAAACCTAAGGAAGGAAAAAAAATAAACTAACAGAAGAACACCGAGTGGAATTTAAAGTGGATAGATAGATGCGAGTGGAGGTCGAAGCGTCCGTGTTAAGCGGTTAACTTACTTCTCATCCTCGCCATACTCGTCTCCTAGAAAGTCAGTGGGGAAGGTGTCGGGGCTGCAGGTGCGGCACACCGCGGGGCAGGGCTCGCCGCACACGCCGCGGCAGCGGTGGCCGCACGCGAGCTCGCGCGCGCACGCCTCGGCGCACGGCGCGCGCGAGCAAGTCTCCGAGCACAGGCGCGTGCACGAGCCGTGTGGGCACGTGCGGTTGCATTTCTCCTGCACCGACAGATTCGTGTCGTACAAATCTCTACTTTACCATTAACGTTAGATCAACTTTAAAAACTACTATACGGTTGCGATACTTTTTCTTTTTTTTTATTTCGGCGGGACGTTCTTTAGAAGGAAGGAAATCTGTCGGATCGTCCGACGGGCCTGTTGGTCTAGTGGTTAGTGACCCCCACTGCTAAGTCAGAGGTAGTGGCCTCCACTTCCTCCCAGCACGAATGATTGTGTGACGAGGACCAACGTTTGTGTAATTCATCTATAATAATACTAGTCTGTATCTATTTAGAAATATTTACGTATGATTATCAGCAGTCTGGTTACTATAGCACAGGCTCTGCCTAGTTTGAGAACAAACTGCATTGTGTAAGATGTGTGAAGTTATTATTATCACTCAATTACATATTACATTTTTTACTTTTATAAAAATAGGCAGAGATAAATATACCACGAGTATAATAGCTAGACACACATATTATAGATAAGTTATACCCAGACAAGAAACAAATTAATCCTGCTTGTCACACAATTATTTCGCGTTTATGGAAGTCGATCTCAGAATCTCTTGGCTAAGCAATCAGGATCCTCTAGACCGATGGCTTTTTCTTTTCACAATTCTCGTCAAAAATATGAATCTTACCTGACATTCGACACACGGCTGACCACACATCCGCGCACACCGAGAGTGTTGACATTGAACTTCACAAATCATATTGCAGGGCGGACATATTTGATTACAAGGCTCCTGACACCTGAACGCAAGTGTAATAAATTTAACACAAATGAAGAAAACGCAAAACGAAACAGATACTTCGGCTTCACAGCAATCTCTTAATTAATATTTATGGGTTCATTATCGTCTGTACCTATCCCCAATTTCCTATTTCCTAAAAAAAGCATTGCGGTGCTTGGTTGCCCAGATACCACATATAGTATTTACAAGCAAACAAGTTAGGAAAGTTAATATATAAATATCGTAGTCCAATTTTCAATATTCAAATAACTGTCAATAAAAAACTGATAGCAATAATATGACATTAAACCGTGGCATCGGTGGATTTGCTATACTTTTTTTTCTAGTCTGTGATTTTTCTAAAGAATATCGTTAGTTTTGCAAATAAACCGTGTACTTTTAGAATAGATACATTAACTAAATCACGAAATACAACATAACTTACTGATGACCACAGATGTTCATTTGGTTGCAGGTCTGTTTGCAGGGCGCATGAAGCCTACCCTGATAACACTTAGAGCAAGATCCGCCACAAAGGTGTTTGCAAGCCAGTTCCTTTTCACACGGACTCTCGCAATACTCCAAAAACTTCATAGGTTGTATTTCACCTTAGAACGTTTATATGTATAATCAATCATTAGTACATATATGTATATCAGCTTTAAGAGTAATAATCCCTTCTCGATGAAACGCCCCTGGAACGCTAATTTGTTATTAAACTGCATTATTCAGAATATAACTTTGATAAATGCAGGTAGGTTCCAGTGGTAGACAGAAATCCAAGTGTTAAATCTGTAAGTTCGGATTCTTCAGATTTAACTATCACGCCTTCCTTTACATGCATAACTGCTCACTTGACCCCACCAAATACCATCCTGACAATAGGCACGGCAATAGCGACTTTTAAGTAGGTTAAGTGGTACTAAATAAAGCAGAAAGCTACTTGCAACTGACATGAGCAACGAGCATCTGAGCCATATAACCATCATCAACAGCCCTTAATAGTCCACTGATGTGCTGGACATAGGCCTCTCCTTAGAAATGAGGTTTTGGTCTACTATACCACGCTGGCCAGACGGATTGAGATAGGGTTTGTTTCGAGTTTTCCTTCTCTTTGCAGTGCTGTTGTCCAGTGTAGTTTGCTCCCTTAGTCGGCTCTAACGACATCCTCGGAATGAATAGGGTTAGTGACACTCTGTATTCTTTTACAATACCTCTAATGAATGCAGCATAAACATTGCATGGCAGTTTAACTTTGTGACCACAAGGAGAGTCGACCTCAATGGAAACTAGCGTCTTGCATTTTTTTACATCGCATACCGCACTACAGGCAGCCTTACAACGATGTCCACAGGCCAATGTCCGTTCACATGTTCCTGTACAATGTGCTCTACTCACAACTACCTGACATTGCACCTTAATTTCGTGATTACAACCTGGAATCACTTTTACAACCTAAAAATAAACATATAGTATATACTTAATGCGGTTAGTGCATTAATCTTACATTAAGTAGTGACCTAAAACAATGTGTATAAGTAATGGTCCTGTTTATTTTATTAATTTACATTAGTATAGTTTAGTCAGGGAATAAAAAGGGAGGTTATCTATCTTTTCGATAAAATGTCCAAATAAACATAATAGAAAGTTGTTGGTTATGGGGAGACCTCCTGACCCGTTGATCACTCTGATATATCGGACTGCTTTCAAAGATTGACTAGGCCATAAACGCCTAATGAGCCTTGTAGAAGAGCTATCTAGTGATTCAAGTGGTAAAGGACCTAAAAAGGGTAAATTAAGACGTTGCAATCCTTACTAAGCGACTAAAGTACGTAAAATGACTTAATATACAGGAATATATGCAGAAAAATCGAATGATTCAAAAATATGTGAAAGAAATTGTATTGTAAGCCACAAAAATTACCATCTTTTGTTACTTAGTAAGGGTTGACGTTGAAACGTTTATAATAGCTGCACATGGTGGCATGGTGTCGATTCCGGGACGACCTGAAATCACATGGCCGATTCTTCCCAGAGTAGGGCGCCAGATGCGCGAGGTCGTCGCGGTGATTTTTAGTTGAATCGCCACATACTCCTGGCTCTTTGAGTCTCCAAGGAGCAGAAGATCCAAAGGGATTTTTCAACCCGGCAACAAAATAAAAAGTTATACCTACCATTGTTGTGCAGTCACCGCATAGTTCTGAACATTTCTTCATACAAAAATGTCCGCAGTCCAGCTTACGAGAACATTTTTCTTTACAAGGCGTATCTTCAATATTTACACAACAGGCGATGCGGGCCTTGTGTTTGCAACTTATTCTTTTCTTTGTTACCTGAAAAGTAATAGAGTTTAGGGTTCGATTAGCAGACCTCGTGATAGCCATAGAATGGTACAGAACACGTGGAAATCCGCCACCTCCTTCTGCAAGCAAGTTATGCTCGAGAAGGGGGCGGAGTTGGCCCGGTAGATGAACTCTCTGTCGGACAGGTTCAGGAGCGCGCCAGGTACCGCAGGCGACTCGGGCGCCGAAGTTTACCGCAGACCTGGCGGTAACAGGTGAGGCCGAACAGGCACTCGGTACAGGCGCATGTAAAAAAGTGAGAACAGATTTATTTATTTTTAGGTACTTACTTGGACATTGCAGTCGTTACATTCCTCATGGCATGCCTTCTTGCATTGATGTTCACCTAGATCGTCAAGGGACTCTGCCGTACATCCCTTGTTCTTTTTAGTACAGGCTTTGTAACATACATACTGTAAAAGTAATGTATTATGTATATATATAATGTTGTATGGTGATAAATCTACTTGAAACTTTTATTGTGAGGGTTTACTCTGATTGCTTAATGACACGAGTGGTTTGGAATGTAAATATGTACTTATATGTAGATACATGTTTAAGTGAACCGTCTACTCCTTAGGCCATAAACACAGATACGCAGATCCACAGATTAAACTTATAACACCCCTCGTTTTCCATCGGGGGTTAAAAATAAGTAAAACTGTGCTATAAAGACAGAAACGATATAAGGTTTCGATGTGAAAATCGGACCTTAATCCCGATGACAATATCAAAGCACAAGAGCTTTTCTGGTAACCCAACGTAATAATCGAATTATTTTGATATTAATCACGAGCGATCAGATAATTTTGTTACCACTGTGCCTTGTAATATTATCGCGAATAATTCCTAACTTATACTATACATCTAATATGTAGGTATTAACATACAGCCTTGGCCAAAAATATTAGGCACCCCAGAAAAATGCACAATTCATGATTACTGATTGAACAATGAATAAATGCTTATCTTAGATGGCATGCCGGGGTCACAAATAACTTCCTAGAAAAGCAAGCAGCTATCTGTTATAGTCATAAAACACCTGGTGACTGAAAACAAAGGATTTGTTTTTATGCGTTCTTATCAGTCAATGTTTGGTCACTTGTGTTCAGGACTTTAAGAGTAAACAAGCTTTTATTTCTAACATAGTGATTAAATTGACGCGTAATTTATTTAAAATTGCCGAAAAGAAGTGAAATTAGTTTGGAAAACCGAGTAAAAATACAACTTTTCAATAAACAAGGGAAGTCGCAAAAAGAAATTGCTAAGTTATTGAAATGTTCGCGTTGCGCTGTGCAATCTGCTATCAAACGGTTTGCTGAGACTGGCAGTCACGCTAACCAAGAACAGGCAGAAAACGTGTGACTTCGAAGCGCGAGGATAGAAAATTAATACGCGAATCTATGAAAGATCGGAAGAAAACATCATCAGAGCTTGCTGCTACTTTGTCCGAAGAGGCTGAAAAGCCAATAAGTGCTCGGACCACCAGAAGAAGACTTAGAGAAGCAGGCTTAAAAGGATGCAAAGCCTAACAAAAGAAAACGACTTGAATGGGCCAACGGGATCAACATTTTACTGAGGAAGATTGGGCCAATATGGTATGGTCTGACGAATCTAACTTTGAGGTAAGTAAATTTTACTGCTTTTGTTATTAATAATCATGGTCAGTTATTTATTTAACTAAAATAATAAAAGTTAAGGCAGTTTAAAAAAATGTTTTTTTTCTTTTTTCAACAGATACTTGGAACGCCAGGTGTGACCTTCAGATTGCGTCGTACCGACAATAAAGCATGGAGGAGGCAGCATAATGATCTAGGGCTGCATGGCTACTGATGGGGTTGGCCAAAATTTGTTTGCGAAGATCGTATGAACAGCGAAAATACATAAAAGTGCTTAAAACTGCGTTTATGCCTTCGCTAACGAGTATTTTCGGCGATACCAACTTAGAGGGAGTTATATTCCAGCAAGACAATGCACCTTGTCATAAGTCAGCGACTACGATGCGTTGGTTTACTGAAAACAACATTGACTTGTTTGATTGGCCAGCGCAGTCACTAGATTTGAACCCAATTGAACATCTTTGGAGCATTTTGAAGCGCAAGATTCAAGAGCATAGTATCACATCGAAAACGGCATTAAAAAATGCGTTAGTACAAGAATGGCATGCCATTACAAGGGAGGATTGTACTAAGCTTGTACGCAGAATGCCAGCTAGAATTAGTGCAGTAATTAAATCCAAAGGTTTACGACTAGATTTTAAGTTTTTTTCATTCTTTTTTGTGTAATTTAATGGTAATAAATCAATTCAAAAAGTATGTTGTTTTTTTTTCCTTTATTTTAAGTAAAATGTAGGTTGCCTAATACTTTTGGCCAATTCTGTATTTGGATACAATTGTGTAGAACGGTCAATTATTTTTCGATAACAATTTATGAGATTTAATATCATTATTTGGTATGACCATAAAAGCTATGGGAGAGCATGTGAAAAATACAAGGTGTGGAGTGACCTGTCATGATGAAGATGCAGATTAATTAATCGTCAATAAACGAACTAGAAAGAGGGTAGATACCCACCCACCACTTTAACCGTTCCACGGCTAACTACACTCAGTTTAGCCGTGATCATGGCAACAGTGCCGACAAATCGGCAACAAATTCTCAAAAATCGTGAAGATCCCGCTTATAATAAGTTAGCAAGTGAAAATGACTATGGTAGAGTGAATGAAAGTGTAGATTGTAATATCTAATAAATTCTTTTGCAAATAAAACACATTTGTAGTCAAACAGCAGGTCCTGTACATCTATACACTACGGTCTCTGGACCCATCTGCCTGCTGGTGCAAGTAAATACAGCTAATCCTTTGTGAAGTCTTAGATTAAGGTTTTTTTATTGAATGTATAAATAAACTAACATCTTTGTGATCGGGATACGAGACATGGCAATTTCTTTCGCATGCATGCCCACAGTCTAAACGTTGTTTGCATTTTTCTTTGCACTTTACTTCTTGTATATTCATGTGACACGCTTTCTGAACCTGCAAAAAATCATATTGAAAAAATTAATAATAATTTACAACATTTTATTCGGCTTTCCTTTGTAAATAAACTCTGCCAACATTATAAAAACAACGTGATGATTGCGGCAAACAATCCAGCATTTTTTTTTAATTTGCTGTCCAAATTTCTCTTCACAGTGCGTGGCGCGTTAATAGTTATATAGCACACATTTTTTTTTAAATATTTGATATTAACTTTTGTTCGTAAGCTTTTTATTAATGAATAAGTAGTTAAGCGAATAATAATTAGCTTATTACATATGGTTTTAAAAGAAAGAATATATCCTGTGTCATGGGGGACTTAACAAACATACACGAAAAGGACACAAAGAATAACCAAACTCAAAACAAAAATTTGTGGATCACACAAAGTGTTGTCCCATGTTAGGATCGTAATCACAACACTCAGGCCAGTAGGAAGGGACGAGGTGGCCGCTTAAACCACTACGCCATCCGTGCAGTCAGTAAGTAAAAGTAGTCTTTTTAATTGTAATAAACATGTGATCATATCGTAACAAAAAATATTCCTTGAAACTCAAAAAAAAAAAACTAATAATCCAGTCAGTCAATCCAGAAAATATCTCGCTTTATTGAAAACAGTAATACACTGGTCAGCAAATAAACCGAGCCACCCGCTACCTAGGAACTCTGATTCGATTTTCTCAAAAAGTATAAAACTTACAACTATCAAAGTTATACCTACAAAAAGTGCGTTTCATGGTGATTAAAATGACTAAAAATTAATTCGAAAGTACCGTCAACTCACATTGTAATCAAGCAACAAACACAATGCTAACGATTTGCTCTGTTTTCACCAGAGTTTGAAATTAGCGTTCTTTTTCTCTACAATGAAGGTAGTCGCATATTTCTTATCATTTCTTTAGTTTTTGTCCATCGTTTGCTCAGACGCGTGTGTTTTTGGTACTTTTTTCGATTAATAATGGATACAACACCTCAGGAAGCAGCTCAAGTTGTAGCATTACTTCAAGCAGGCATTGCGCAACGTGAAGTCGCTCGAAGGCTTCGAATCAGCAGATCTTCGGTGCAACGAGTTTACAGACGATACCTAGAGACTGGAGCATTCGATCGCCGTCCTGGTACGGGCAGACCTAGGGCTACATCAGCAGCAGATGATCGTTATATCCACCTTACTGTTCTGCGAAATCGCCACCTCAACGCAGTTCAAGTCCAACAAAGTCTGCGTGACGAACGACAAGTGGTCATAAGTTCAGATACCGTCAGAAGGAGACTTGCTGAACGGAACCTGACCCCAAAAAGAGCTGCAACAGGCCCAGCATTAACGGTAGCACACCGTCGAGCACGACTTGAATTTGCTCGAGAGCATAGGGATTGGACATTAGAGCAGTGGAGTAATGTACTCTTCACTGATGAGACCAGGGTGAGTCTACATGGAAGTGATCGACGTCAGAGAGTATATCGTCGCCCTGGAGAACGTTATTCTCAGTGTTGCATCGAGGAAACTGTTGCTTATGGAGGAGGATCTGTAATGGTCTGGGGCGGCATCTCGTTAACAGCACATACAGCGTTAGTTTTCATCGGACCGACGGGCCGTACACGTGGACTGACTTCTCATCGCTACATTACTGAAATCCTCGCAGACCATGTGGTACCTTACGCAGGATATATCGGACAGGATATGCAATTGATGCATGATAATGCACGGCCTCATGTTGCTCATGTGGTGACCCAGTATCTACGCGACGTCAGCATTCGTACGATGGACTGGCCAGCTCGAAGCCCGGACTTGAATCCGATAGAACACTTATGGGATGAGCTGAAACGTCGGGTTTGAGCCCGGGTACCTGCTCCAACAAGGCTTCCAGAGCTGCGAATCGCAATTGAAGAGGAGTGGAATACAATTCCTCAAGATTTTATCGTCAGGCTCGTAAGGTCGATGAATACAAGGATGCTGGCAGTTATCCGAGCAAGGGGAGGGAATACGGAATATTGATCAAAAACTTTTTTTTGATTTTATCTTTGTTTTTGGCTTTAATTTTTTTTTTCACTTTATCATTACTAACGATTGTCACGACTGGAAAACGACTCTTCTTTGTAAAATCCTTAATAAACACTGAAATATTGATTAAACCCAATGAGTTTCCCTTCATTTTAATCACCATGAAACGCACTTTCTGTAGGTACAACTTTGTTAATTGTAGGTTTTTTAGTTTTTGAGAAAATCGAATTAGAGTGCCTAGGTAGCGGGTGGCTCGGTTTATTTGCTGTCCAGTTTAGATTGAAAATTAAGTGTATTAGGTAGGTATATTAAATATAAGAAACAAAACAACCGATTTTCACAAACAAATAAAAAAGTAAGTAACAACTATAACGTGGTCTTTGCTTGGAAAGTTGAAGGAGATCTCATTTTCTATTGCACTCATACCTACGAGAAGATTGGCATTAGTAATTCTGAGAAATCTGAAATTAGCTTTTGAGAGTTAAAAACTCTGAGCTGGCGATCAAAGTACTATTGTTTAACATATGACTAATATTAAATACCTACTTGTAAAATGATATCAAATAGTTGTGAATAACTTAAAATTAACTGCAATTAAAATGCATGACTATAACAATAAGTTAAAAAATAGCGTTTCCAGTTTAAAACAATCACATTATCAACGCCTAACTAATAAAAGGTAACTGTAATATCAAAATAAAAAACAGACGGTAGGTAAACAAAAAAAAAGTATTTTACAAATGTTCAGACGAAAAAATACTACCGTCGGAGAAATCTTTAATAGACAAAACCATTAGGTCAAAGAACAAAATATTAAAAAATATCCAGTGTGGATATACTTGCTAGATGTCGAAAAGCTTGCAAAAAGGTTTTCTAAAGTAATAAAAAATGAGATTTGGTAGTTTATATAGTATGAAATAAGACATTTCTTACTATATATTTTTTTTCCGAATTTAGTCAAATATATGACTGTTCAAAATATAACGCAGGGTCCAAGTTCGCATCCCACCCTTTTTTGTACCTTGAACTCTAGAGAGTTCAGCTCTAGAGAGTATTAATATAGATATTAATAGAAACAATAGAATGAGTAATACCTTATGGCCGCACTTTGGTAATATATCTTCAATTATAGTCAAACATTTGTTTTTGGGATCTTCAGGCTCGCGATGACAAAATACATCCATTACGTGGCCACATGGTAATTTCTTCCGTACGTACACTTTACACTCCCCACAGTCCATAGAACACTTTAATGGGCATACGTGACCGAGATCGCAGAGAATCCTTAAATTAAAAACAAAATATAAAAAACACAAAAAATAGTTCGATTTTAAAAGCTACTATAGAATTGATTATAAAACTAAATTCTTTAAATTCATTTACATCACCGAGCATATCGGATCGGACACTATCTGTTTAACCAAAGAAAGATTCATCAATACTCATATAAAATCTAACATTGGAGCACATCAAAAACACGCTTTCCTTTTTTATTGCAATGTTATGATACACTACACAATGAGTCTTATTAGAAAACAAGTTTTACATTAGCAAATACTAGCAATCCACCTCATGCAATGTGGCTATTACTAATGTTCTGTGAGTATGGAGTAATTTATTATTCTATTATTATAATAAGACTATACTACAGGACATCTTTATATGCAATATTTTTGGGCGCTCCGCTCCTGCGGGCCATTGCCAACTGGGACGGACGTACCGCCCGACACGGCGATGGCCGCTTGCGCCCGCATTTTAAATATCTGATATCTACTAAGATATTAATTTCAACGAAATGCTGTGAAAGACAATTTTACTCTTGAACATATCAAACGTATTTATTTGAATAACGAATAATACTGTATTGTTCAAAATAGTTCGTAAATTACCCATTATTTTTTGTAATACGTAAAAGCTAAAAATGGTTAGTCTAGGTTTTCCTTGGGAGATAGACATACCATCACCAACTTTTTAGAGATATATGTTCAAAATATACAATTCCATAGTACATTATTTTGATATATCTCGTTTGCAATGTAATGACACAAAAACGTTTTTTACGACTTCATTACATGAAACTCTCATTTTTTCATTGTATTATACATATTAACCCTATATGTGGTTTCAAACTGTGTGGACTATATGTGGTTGGTGGCGCTGCCCGTCATGTAAATAATTAAACTCCGTGTTTATTTGTGGTTAAAAATATTAAAACTTATTAGATAAAGTGTACAAAGGGTTAAAAGTGGACCTAAGGTCAGCGGTGAAAAGTGACAGTGTTATCTAAAAAAACCTAATTGGATTTACAAAAAGAGAAGGACTTAAAAACTTTGTACTACAAGTTGGTGACCTCATATGATAATTTCATTCTTACGCCTAATTATGTCAAAATGATACAGTGTGATATAGTGAAATAGACTAAGGTTGAACAAATAAGCCTTTTTTTTCAATAGCATGTTTGCAAATTGTCTTAAAATCGTAAAATACCGTGCTACAAAGACGGTTTTTTATTCAAACAGTGCCAGACCAAAAAACTGATACTAGCGACATCTATCGAAACACTATTACAATGTTAACCTAATCAATTAACTACATTCGTTGACATGCAACTAATACATTGTGTTACAAAACAATCGATTTATAACCACTAGCGACATATATTGCGACGTCAAAAATACAGTTCACTATTTAAGATTACTGTTAACAAAGCAGTTTAACTTAGTTGTGTAAGTACTAGCTTAGCGATTCCTGAGACGTGAGATCGATCCTCAACACACGCAATACTTTTTGTGAATTGATAAAACTGCTATTCATTCATTCTGAACATGGATGAAACTATCTATGTGAATACTCAACGGAGAAAAAATAGACTTAACTACAGTAGCAGCGAACTTGACGAGATAATGGACATTTCTCACCAAAGTCAACCAAATAGTTGCTATAACACACTAGAATTTATTGAAATGAAGGAACAGTTAGATAACTTAAACATTGAATTAAAAATAGCAAATACAGAAGTTGAAAATCTTAATCTGGAAAATATGTCTTTAAAAAGGGAAATACAAGCATATCAACAAAAAATAAAACTATATAAATCAGTAGGAGTCAGAGATACACATAATTTTGGCAATAGGACACCTGTAATGTTTTATTCACCTCAATACCGAAGACGTCTTACAGGAATTAATATGAGGGTAGGTTTACACAGAACAACATCGAATGAAACGCTAATGAGTGTAACAAAGAGTCAAAGTTCTCCGAAAAGTTATATACTCACCTCAATAATCGATAATCTTGATAATAATTTATCGATAGTGAAGTTTGATAGTAACTCGAAGAATTCTAATAAAAGAGATAGTTTAGATATGGCTACCATTCTTGACGAATTGCCCACTATAAACCGTGACCAGAGTTCTCCATTAAATCGCAACTTAACAATAAGTAGTTCTTTTTGTATGGAAGAGCCAACTATACGGAGTATAAGAAATGACATCAGCTATCTAAAACCACATACAACAGCTGATAATAAACCCAGAATCATGATTTTTGCGGATGAAAGTGGAAATCGGTTGAGAAAATTACTACATGACCAACTTGGTAACAGCTTCACGATTACATCGTTTATAAAACCTTATGCACCTATGTCAGAAATACTTAGTTCATGCGCAACATTGTGTCAGAACTTTACCAAGGAAGACTTTGTGTTAATTTTAGGTGGATCAAATGATAACAACCCGTTAAAATTACAATCGTTTTTATACTACACAATAAACCAAATCAAAAACACGAATGTCTTAATTGGCGAGGTTCATAAAAATAGATACCTAAATGTGTACAAACTGAATAAAATGTTAAAATATATTAGTCATAACTTTGAAAATATGTTCTTCGTTAATTATGGAACACATTTAAATGAATTTAGTTTGATCAGTAAATTGTATGTAAGTAGATTATTCCATAGGGAAATATTGCGCTTGCAATATAAACACAGGTATCAAAGTTATGTAAACGCAGCATCTAGTATTCAAGGTAAGACCTCTAGTATGTCTAAAAGCTACCGCAATATGTATACTCAGACTGAGAGCAATACTCACCTTAAATTTTTAAGTGTAGACGCAGAAACACAAACAGATTGCTGTACTGTTAAAGTTGTTGATACTGATTTTTTTCGAGATGAATGACAAATTAACATCTGAATTAGCAAATGACATAAAAAATAGCACTCATACAACTCTAGACCCACATACAATTAATCTTAATGTCTTCCATCAAAACGTTTGTGGTATTAGTAATAAAAAAGATGAATTTGAACTTTGCCTTAGGACTCAGCCGGAACTTGATTATGTTTGTTTATCGGAACATTTTCTTAATAAATTTTCAGCTCCATTACTTAGTCTTAGTGAGTATAAGTTGATAACATATAATACAAGAATAAACAAAAAAAGGGGTGGTAGTCTTATTCTAGGTCATATAAATCGTGAAGCGGTTGAGTGCCCCCAAATTAATAAACTATGTGAAGAAGAAATATTTGAAATTTGTTGTATAAGAGATCTTACTACTGGACTGTACCTGTGCTGTTGCTATCGAAGTCCCGATGACGGAAACTTTGAATTGTTTATGAAAAATTTAGAAAAAATGCTTGAATTTTTACTCAATAGGAAGGCTTTAATCTGTGGTGATTTTAATGTTAATCTACTAACAGACAATAAAAAAAGGTCAGAATTTCTAAATCTGTTGCGTTGCTATAACTTTAGAGCTCTTGTGCACACAGCTACTTTCATACGTAATAATTCAGTTTCATGTATTGACAATTTTTTAACAAATTTGGCAGATGAAAATATAGATAAAATTTTCAATGACCACAATGGGTTAGCAGATGGCCACAGTGGGATTACATGTGGACTAATGCTACAATGCCTTACAGATAATAAATTAGCTGCGGATCAAACCATCTCTTTTGAAAAAATAATAATTAATAACAAAAATCATGACATTTTTAAAAATATTTTATTAAACTCTGACTGGACCTCGATGAGTGTTAACACTTTTTTGAAGAGATTTAATACATATTTCAAAAGTACATACAAGAAAAAAACTATAAAAGTTAATGCAAAAAAGAAAAGTAGTGGTATTAAATGGTCAACAAAAGGTATTAAAGTATCAAGCAAAATGAAACGTTTTCTGTGTATAAGTGGTGGAAGTTGTCTCAATGAGTCCATTTTAGTGTATCGAAAAAAATATGTGGGACTTTTCAAGAAAGTAATAAAATCCGCTAAGAGAATATCTGTTCAAAGGCAACTAGCAAACGCCAAAAATATAACAAAAAAAATCTGGCAGTTAGTAAATCGGCATAGAAGTAAAACTAATTATGGAACAGTTAAAAATATTGAAATTCAACATAACAATAAGAAAATTGATGACCCCGCCCTCGTTGCAAATATGTTAGCTCAGCAATTCAATGCTAAACAGCCTTCGTGTCACAGTAAAACCGACAAATCAGTTCAATTCTTACAAGATAGCTGCAAAAGGGTCATGAAAGATATGGTTTTATCCAAGATTACACCCAATGAAGTTAGTGACATAGTTAGAAAAATGCCAACTAAAACTTCTAGTGGGTGCGATGAAGTACAGATATCAATAATAAAAACACACATAGTAATTTTAGCGACCCCCCTTTCATATCTTTTTAATAAATGTTGCGAACAAAAGATTTTTCCCGAACAGTTAAAAATTGCTAAGGTGGTTCCGATACACAAAAAGGGATCGTCTACTGATCCGAAGAACTACAGACCAATATCGGTCCTGTCAGTACTATCAAAAATATTCGAAAAGCTTTTAAAGTCACGTCTGGTGAGTCACTTAATTACAAACCAAGTGATAGATAAGAAACAATTTGGATACCAGAAAGGTGTTGGTACGGCTGATGCATTATATACATTGATAGGCGACATTGTAGAAAAGATTAATGAAAAAATGAGAGTAGCTGGTATTTTTTTGGACCTTAGTTCTGCTTTTGATACTGTTGATCATGAACTTCTCCTGATAAAACTGGAACACTACGGTGTGAGAGGCAAAGTCTTGGACCTCTTCAAATCATACCTACATAATAGGCAAATGTTTGTGGAAATCAATGCAGTTGATAATAAGAATCACTATAAAGCTTACAAATCAAAAATACACCATGTAACAACAGGCGTACCGCAGGGTTCTATTTTGGGTCCCATTCTGTTCTTAGTATTTGTAAATGATCTCATAAATTTCGCACAGAGCTTAAATTCAAATCCTCAGCTAGTTGTGTATGCCGATGACACTAATGCAATAATAAGTGCAAGTGATTTAGAATTACTAAATCATAAAGTTAACAATGTCTTGTATGAATTCCATAGATGGTTTGCAGCAAATAGGTTAGTTATGAATACCACAAAAACAAACATTATTTTGTTCAAGTCTACTGCCCGTAATACAGATAGCTTGGCTGTACAATTTATGGGAGACAAAATTGACAATGTAAACACAGTCAAATTCTTAGGTATACATATAGACTCGTTGCTGAATTGGCAAAGAGAACTAGATGCAATTGAGGAAGCAATATCATCCTCTTGCTATGCCCTTAGGAGTTTAAGAGAAGAAGTTAGCATCAGTCAACTAAGGACTGTATATTGTGCTCTAGTCGAATCAAGGTTAAGATACAGTGTCCAGTTCTGGGGTAATAGTTACAAGTATAATTGTGAAAAGGCCTTCATAATACAAAAACGGGCAATTAGAACTATGGTCCGAATACCGCAGTGGGAGTCATGTAGAGAGCATTTCAAAGAACTATCCATACTAACAGTCCCTTGTTTATACATACTGACCGTACTAAGCCAACTGTCAAAATACATTACTGATTTTGAAACTCAAGATGAAAGGTTAATCAGAGAGAGTACTCGAAGAAAGAACTTGAGAAACAATTTTATACCAACATTAAATATTGCAAAGCATTGTGCGCGTTATCAAAGTGTGAAACTATTTAATTGCCTACCTGCAGAAATAAAAATGGAAATCTGTAAGACACACATATTTAAAAAGTAAAAGTAGTAAGTAAGTAAAAGAGTTAAGGCCTTCTTATTGGAAAAATGTTATTATTCTGTAAATGAATTTACTGGCTCATCTTGTAACTGACATTAAAATCCTAGGGACAAGTTGGGGATATAATTATTGTGTGATCTCTCGTTTCCTTTGACATGACAATTCTAACTGGCATTTAGTTTGCATTAAGTACCTGTTTGAAATTTAATTTATTTAGTTTGACATTATTATTTTTGACATCAAGTGATTCATTTTGTTAATATGACTGGTTGGAGTTGTGAATGTTATATGTATATTTGAAATGTTTTTAACTTATTTTAGATGGTTTAATGTGAATTTTTTTTAGAGATTATGTGTTACTTTTCTTTTCTCACTATTATGAAGTATTATATTCAGACACAATTGTAATAAATTGTTAATGAATTAAATTAAATAAAAAAAATAAAAATAAAACCCGTCTCTTGAATCACCATTTCTATTGGTGAAAAGCGCATTTAAAATCTCCGATCTAATCGTACAAGAATAAAAAAAGCGACTTCATTTTATACTATGCAAAGAAGAATTTAGAACAGGAAAACGAAATAGCTGGGTAAGCCCCCACGGGTCATCGCGGGGCTCACGGCGAAGTGATATGTCGGAATCGAACCGACCAAATCCACGCCGTGTTCCATCACATGTAAGTCTGTTGCAGAGGACTCGGGTGTACCCTAGGAAGGAAGACCCGAGGAGTCATTGGCCGGCCGCGGAACCGCCACCGTCCCAGGCCTGCTTCTGCTAGGGTAACGGTTAGCCTCACCGATACCCCCAGGCCAGCTTTTTATTTGGTGATAGGTTAGTTGTTGTTTATAACATACAACTACTATTTCGCTGTCTCCTTTTAGAACAATATTTGTATATTGTATTGACTTAGACAAATATACATGATAGGTACGAGGATATCAAAATTATTTTGTAGTGTCGTTAAAGAAATTAGTGACAACCTAAACTAGGTACAGGTTTTTTCAAATAAATATTGTACAGTGCTACAATTTAGACAGGTTAGAGAATTTCAGTAAAGTCAGCCAGGGCTTCATGCCTACCTTTCACAAGGTTCAAAACATTTAGTTTCAACGTGGCCGCGGTCATAACCATGACAATAGAGTACACAGCGATGACCGCATGTATACATATAATTACATTTCCTTAAGCAACCTCCTTCTGGAACTTTATGAAAATCTTCCGTAGTTACAACCTGAAAATGTTTTAGGTAATTAAGGAATCTGAACAATACAACGCTAATTTATGAGTTAATGTAAAATACTCACAGGTGTTATGTTATCCGGATGCACTTGGCATTTCAAGTTTAAAACGGTCCCTAAGGAACCATTACTCTCCAAGGTAGCAGCAATTTTTCTCCAAAGTTCAGATTTCGTTTTCAGCATATTAATGTTACCGAACATATAAAATCCTGTATATAATAATACTGCATATTATCATACTAACCAAAAGTTTTTTGTACGTGGAATAGAGCAGTATCAGAAAATACTTGAAATCTAATAAATATAATTTGGACAGTTTTATTTTATACATTCCTTATATCTTGACATGTTAAGGTGTCAATTTTTTTGAACCCACTTGACTATCCGGCATCCGTCGTCCGTCCGAAGTCATCTTCAATGTAATAAAATATAACTGACAGTTATATTTAAAATTTCCCCCAGAAATCAGATTCGAAGTCTAATTGACCGATTTCCGCCTCCATCAGGGTATCATGACGGTGTTGTCCAACAATCGGACAACTGAACAATCATCCATCTAATCTTAAAATGGAACAATCAAAAGTTTAAAAGTTTCATAACAGTAACTGAAAATCTATCAGTAACCGAAGCCTTTCAAAAAGTTCCGAATAATTTCGAAATGAGACAATTTTTGACAGGTTTTTGTTTTTAACAGAGCCAATATAGCATGTACCATGTATTTCTATTGCTTAGTCGTAATTTCTATTGCTTAGTCGTTGCTTATTGTGAGATTAGATAATGCTGTGTAAATGACTAAATAAATTGTTATATAGGTTTAATGCGTTCTGAGGCTTGTTTTATTTAGACATTTTTGTTACATTTACAATTCTTAAAAAAAAAACAATTTTCGTAACCTACTATGCGAAACCAGCGGATTATCCGCAATAATCCATCTATGATATACCGTATCTACTAGTCATAGAGGGCAAACCAGTCCACGATGAATATTCAGTTGAACACAGTGTGAAAATATAGACTCATATAGACCCCCCGGAAAGAAAACCGAGTTGAATCAACAATACGGACTTCTTTAAGCCTCAAATCAAATAGCATGTAGAATAACGTGACTAATTAAATATAATTTATAAAAGAAAGGTTTTATTTAGGATGAAAAGGAGAATTCGCAAGGCAAATTTTATAGTCCATACAAAAAAAAAACATTGGAAGGGCCTGTTGGTGTAGTAGTTAACGTCGTGAGTTTGATTCCCACCAGGACAAATCAGAAGGCAAAAAAAAGTGATGGGCACGATCGTATATTCTGTGTCTTGGTGTAATTTATATATAATATACCCATAGTACAGGCCCGAGTTTTGGGCCGGTAAGCGGTGTGTGAAATGTGTGAAGTTATTATTATTTTCTAACAAACCTTCTTTCGCTCTCGAAAGTGCAACACAAATCCTATTTTCAGTTCCGAGAAAGCCGATCATATTGTCAGGATTGTTTCTTACAAGGGATAATAATATAATTCTTGATTCTTCTCCTTGATAGTTGTCCACGACAGTAATTTTTACGTCCTTCAGACAAGAATATTTTTGTCGTTCCTAGAAAAAAGTTTTCCATTTACACCTTATTCATTGGTAAAGCGCGCTAAAATAATATGAATGATGAAAAGAAAATTACTGGTTTTTATTTTTTTCTTGAAAAAAACAGGATTTTTATCCTTGATTCACGTGATTGCAAACACCAATCAGAAAATATGTCGTAATTTTTACAGCTATTAACCAATCAGCTGTCTGCATCTAATGATTTGGTAAGTAAGTAATTTGAATTTCTGTCTATGAAGCTAGCGTAGCCAAGTCGTAGGGTCGCAATAAAACTTACACTATTATTTTTGCTTTTTTTGCATAAGAATAGCCATTTCCGAAAAACAATGGTCCTGATGACTTGAGACCTAAGCCAGTTAAGCCAATGCCATATCTCCGGATCTCTTACACTTTGTGCTTTGTGGCATATTGTTTGCTAAGTATTTGCTATTTTTTTGCTAAGGAAATATTTTTTGCCATAGCCATGACAAAAAAGAAAAAATGGTATTGCTGACATGTAACTCAAGCCAGCTTAGCCAACGTCATATCTTTAGATATATAAAATACATACACAGCATATATACAGCATATTTTTTCGCGCAATATCTGCTGTTTTTGTCACAGGTTGTATATAAAAAAACTGTTTATTTTCTGTGCTTGTTTTTTTTTCTTTTAAAGTAATTATTATTACTATATATATGTATATCCACACTTGTTTGTGGGAAAGTAGGAATAGCACACCTTACGCCATGCATGTAGACTAATCACCATATTATCGTTTAATCGATCCGTACTTTTAGTTTATTTTTGTTTGAGACGGCTACGAAAAGCCGTCATAAGTCATTTAGTACGTTTATTTAATAACTATTTATTTCTGATAAAAAAGTAGATTATGAGATCCCCTTAGCTCATATCGTTCAAACCATGCTTACAATTCAGACTCTGTTTTCAGTGTATGATGAACAATTCCTCGTTAAATAGATAATGTATTTTGACATAACTCTAACTACCTACTAACTCATCTCTTTGTATTATAAATCGACTATAATTTTCTCCGAAATACAGTATTCCCTTAAAATCTTTTTAAATGTTAGAAAATGATCTTACAGCGTATTTCTACATATTTTGTTTCCAATGTCTGTTAAATTTACAATCTTCTCATCTTAATTAATTTTTGGAAGAAAAGAAGAAATTTTCAACAGGACTTAAAAGAAAAATCCTAAAATGTTTTAATTGGTTAAATTATATTTTACAATGCATTAAACAATCTACTGAGTGAATTACCATAAAAGTAGATTGAGAACTAAGCCGGCATTTTTAGGTAACTACTGGTTTTACCGATTTGAGCAAAGTAGTTCACATAAACTATATTTTTATTGGAAATAATTATTCAATAATTTAGGCATTATACTTACTAAATGTCTTAAAGACTCTAAGCATTCTTAAACATAAATGAACTAAAAGTATTATGTACGGATCAGTTAAACGATATTTTGGTGATTAGTCGGTATGTAGGTATAGCGTTAGGTGTGCTATACCTACTTTTCCCTCAAACAAGCGTGGGTGCGTATAAAACTTATTTTCTTAGCCAATAGTCTGCTAATAATTACCAAAAAATATGCCACAAAGTCTGCTTTGATAAATGTAAGAGATCTGGAGATGTAGCGTTGGCTACGCTGACCTAAGTCTCAAGCCAGCAGGACCATTGTTTTTCAGAATTGGCTATGGCAAAAAAATCAATTCGTTGGCAAAAAATAACAAAATATTTGCAAAAAAAATAGGTTTTGGTTTTATTACGGCCTTATGACTTGGCTATGTTAAAATGTCTATGTAAGTGCAGTATAATTTTCACTCACTCAGGCAACGCAAGAAATGCTTAAAACCGGTTTTCTGTGAGGCCGTGGTATCACTCCGGTTCTCCCACGTTAATAGATAAGTTTGATAGATAAGCACTACCCGTGCAATGATTAGACTAGGCTAAGAAGTATGAAGTTTCTTAAAATAGGTTTAAGAAGTTGTAAGGGTTACATTTTATGATACACTACAGCTCCTACTATATAGTAGACGACCGTGTCATCTCTGCGATACGCCGCTAAATTGCTTTAAACAACGTTATATATATTTTACCTTATTCAATTTCAAATCATTTATTTCGGATAAAATTCATCCATATAGTGTTACATTCTTATACCTTCTCATAAAAATTAGCGTTAATGTCAAGAAATTCAAAGGTACCTGTGTATTTGCTTAATTATTAATAACTACCGTGAGCGCAATAATTTCATTAAACATAATTATATATAATGGAACGCGATAGCTTATTGGTTAAGGTACATACTTTTCTCATGTAAAACATTTGGCCCGAGTAAGCAGTTAAGATCGTGACTTCATGACTTTTATATCCCTGTTGCATAATATAATTTGCTAAGGAGAGTGTTAGATCCGCCTCTTTGTAATTCGCTCGGCTATTGCTGTCGCTGGAATCTTCCTGAAAACATTTTAAAAAACAAATGTAAACAAATATTTTCTGAATTGTGTAGGGCATGTTAAAAAATAGAAAGCAATACATAAAACAAGATAGATATTGTTAATGGAATTTTCAGCCAACAATGTATTAGCTCCTTACCTAATAAAATCTATTTTGAATATGAAAATAAAAGTGCATAAGAATATTTTAACATTACCTCTTCACGAGATTCGTGAGAAAAGAAAAAAACACTTTTTTCAAGTCCTGGTACGTCGCGGAAGTTTTCAACACTGGGGTGATTTTCTAATTCGGGGTATATATGTGGTGAGATAAGTGCCGCAATCTCTGGACGCATACGATGTTGAATATTAAGTCTGCGACTGTGTATTCCGTTAGTTATCATGCGTTCGAACAACGAAACTTCTATATTGTATTGCCTCGCTAACTTTAAGTACGCAGCTGACGGCCTCAACTGTTGATGATCGCCTAAAAAAAGTTTTTATTTAATCGAACTGATTAGCAGATATAGTCATTGGAGTCATTGGAGAGGATCTCTCGCTACCGGCCATCATACGCTCCATGCCAGGTCCGGTAGTGACAGTTATTTTACCGCGAGGGCTCGAGAGGATGATCTCCACTCGGACCCAATTCGCTGCCGACGAACTAGTCGGCGGAGGCGCGCTGACCAGCGCTTCATGCCGCCCTGAGTGTGGCCGCGGGTGGACGGGACGGGTTTTTCCTCCACCCGCCATAACGGAAAGAACCTAGAGACGACGGACGCCGGACGTCGCCTAATAGAGAATGTACCCGAAGGTGGTGGGCGCGCCGATGCGAGCAGGCGTTAGGGAAGCAGCGAGCAGGAAATGACGGGGGAGAACATGGATGATGTTCCACTCGTGACGGATGCGCAGGTCGAGGCGGCTGTTCTCGGAATAGGTGCTCGAGTGCTGACAGTATCCGTAGTATTTAGAGGAGCGTACCGTCATGTTCGAGGACCAAGATGGATATCTAAGACGTCGGCCCATGTCATACAGTGTTCCACAAGGGTCTCTTCTTGGAACACTCCTGTGCAACATAGGGTACTGACTGAGGCCTTCGAGGAGACTTACCCCTTGGGCCTTGGAGGCGAACTTGGTCACCCGGGGGGGGGGGGGGTCATACGCGGTTACCACACCGTACGGAGAACACCCCTATGGGATTTGGAGGTGAAAGTGCTTGCCGAATTATATCGGTAGACGTTTGAGTTCTTTGCGGGTAGCGGCAGTAAAAAAAATGTGGGCCTAATTTCCGGGCCGTCACAGTCAGGGACAGTAACGGAAGTAATTGTCGTAGTCGAATATAATGATCAATGAAACTCCTTAACGGCTTACAGTAAGGGTGCAATCTGTGGCAATTCTAACAGTCTGTATAAGTCGAAGTGAACGAGTTTCAGGTGTTTCGTTTGATAAGCGATCGTGAATCAATCCGAATCGGTGGGCAGAAAAAGTACGTTGGTTATTAAATTGTAGAAGAATATGCAGTTATTTTTTTACTTTTTAGTGCATAATAATTTCTTTTGGAATAGTGTTTTTTGAAGTCGGTGGTTTTTTTGTAAAAAATTTGTTTATTTATAATATGTTAGGACACATGCCTACACATGGTTTACATTCGTTTATGTTTTTTTAAATTCCTTTTATTTATTATAGGCAGCCCTCTCTCTCTATACATTTAACGCAGCTCTTATGTCCAAGACCCTTTATGGAGGATTGGCTCGAGAGGCAACTCTGTCAGCGCTACAGTGAGCGGAGCAGAGGCGCGATTGAAATTCTCTCGCACGGTACCAGACTGGGGCTATGGTACGGAGCGAAAGCGGGTCGAACTCCAACGTCTCCTTCTACGAGCAAGTTATGCTCGCTAAGGAGACGGCGGAGAGGTGAAGAACTCTCCCGGTCCGCCAGACCCGAGAACGAGCCAGGTACTGCAGACGAGGACAAGGGCGCTGAACGACCTCCATCATTCCTAGTCGAAGCGTCCGGGAGTAAAAAGGGAACATCGTGGTTCCTACACACGAGGGGGTCATCTAAAAGGGGTGAACGGCCCGAACCCTATAGGGGGAAACAGGGATTTCCTTTTTAGGGTAAACCTGGTCCCCAGTTACTGGTACTCGAGACGGTGTGCGGTTTTAGTCAGTTCGAGTCTGACATAACCACCCCACCGGTCGTCCAACGGGTGGTGGTATCTGAGGGGATTGCCACACAGAAAAAAAGACTAGCTTGACTGGCGACCGGCCTTTAAACTTACACATGAATTTGTTGTCCCCGAAAATATATGTGTACATTTTTTATTAAATATCAATTTATACAGAGTATAAGGGACGTCGGAAAAATAAATGTTTTATGCAATCATCTGTCAAAGGTTAAGGTCATTCCCTTTAGGTATCCCACAAAAGTAATAACTACATTGGTATTCCGCAAACATGCGTGCATAGTCCAGATAGAATAAATAATTACTAACCTATCAGAATAAGATGTTGGCAACTGTTTGTGAGCGACGTTATGATATGCTGCTCCAAGACTTCGGCGGCTTCTTCTACTATCACTGTTAATCAAACAATTTAGAAATATCACACAAAATGTATGTTGTGTTAAAAATTATTGCTAGCATTCATACTGTTAACGAAGAGAACAACATTGAAGTATACTTATTACTATTTAGAAATCATAGATCTTATAGTATCACATTGCAGTAAAACAACCAAGTTGGATAACTCTGATATTTGTGTAACGTAAACGCACCCCTTAAAGCCAGTTTAAGCAAAGTTCAGATTGATATTCAAAAAATAAGCACACTTTTAACAACTGCCGTCACTTTCTATTTAAATAATAAAGAAACAACTACCAAAAATTAAATAAAAATTAAAAAAATGAAATTGATGAAAAGAGCTATGTATTACAATTTTTGTGGCACCTATTACCGACCGCAATATAACAAAACAATTCAATGATAATGAATTTAAGTTTCATTACTATTTTGTATAAATCAATAGTACTTTAAAAGTAAGTTGTAATTATCAATACTCAATACTTCAATACTCAATATCAAATATCTTGTGTTCACTTACGTGCTAAGTCAATAATAGTGACAATGATTTATCATTGACGTACTAACTAATCAAATTAGTATAGCTCACTACATATTAGTTGATGAATTGTGACAAGAATAATTGAAATAGAATTTAAAAACCTAATGGCGACATGGATCGCCAATAAGAATAAAATTGTGACTATTGTTTCTATCACCGAAACATTTTTATATTGAATTTCAGGCAAACCGAAGCTGCATTTCATGAAAATTTGTTATTATTTGTGTTTTTGTGGAAGTATTCAGAAAACGTTAAAAGAATTAGAAGGTTGATTAGAATGCTTTACAATTATGTTTTCTGCTCAGAAAGAAATGAGAGTTCTTCCGTAGTCGGCACTATGTAATTTGGACGGTCCCCGGAAACCGACGACGAATTGTACAGTTATTCTTTAAATCGTTGGTTCACGTACAAAATCAAGTGATGAATATTTGCATAATGTACATCTAATTGTTTTCTAAGGCAAACACTTGTCTAACTTTAACACAACACTTATAGTGTTGTGTTAAAGTTACAAAACAATAGTTTTATGAAACGGGCGGTAATAGGTGCCAATTTTAAGGGTTATTAGGTGTGTTTGCGTTACATCCTTTATCCTTACAACCTTTCAACATTTTTGTTTTTTTTTTTATGTAATAGAGGAGCGGACCGATTATCTAAAAGTAAATGACTACTGCCACCGTAGACACACACACGTGTAACTCAAGCCAAAGTACATTAAAAAAACAAAATATCGTATATTTGGTTTTAAAATATATTTTTCTATTCGTTTGACTTTAAATCTGTTGAAACGCTATACAAAGAATCAATTAAACATCATCATAAATGAAATGCCTTACATATTTTTAACGTATACTTAACAGAAACCAACTAAATGCCTACTCATCATCATCGTCAGCCTTTAATAGTCCACTACTGGACCTAGGCCTCTCCTTAGAAAGGAGGTTTTGGCCTACTATCCTACGCTGGCCAGACGGGTTGGTATAGGGTTTGTGTCGGAGTCCCCCCCAACTGTATTATAACGTTGACGTCGTGGGGGGGCTTGCGCGGGTCAGTGATCTCTGAGGCTATGCCGGTAGAGTCACTCATGCCGGATTGGCTCCAAAGGGAGACTCCAGACTAAGAAGGATACTCGGTGGGGCCCTTCTTGGGTCACCGATAGTTGCTCCACTGTCCAAAGTGGAGGAACGACGACGGGTTCGGTGAGCACTTACACTGCCACCGAGCAGGCTACAGGGGCTGTGTCTCCTTGCAACCGTTGGCACATCGTAATCCCGAAAGGAGTGTCGTGGTTATGTCGCGCGACTCTAATCGGGGGCGAGGGTCTTGGCTTAGCCGCCCGGACTGCGAGGAAGAAAACCTCTTTAAAAAAATACTCCGAATCCCGTGTTCTGGTGCGTGGCCAGGGGATGCATGGCTGATGGGTAGTTCAGTCGCAAGCGCACTCCCAGCCGAGGTACCTGCGGACCCCTCGGTTGGGCACAAATTTACGCTTGCCCGGGTATTGGGGGATCTCTGCCCGGGTCGACTTTTATTTCTCCCCTACTCGTGGGTTTAAATATGCAATCATTATTAACAAAAACAAACAAAAAGGAATAAAAGAAGGCGAAAGATAAGAAGATCAAAACAAGAAAAGCGGATGACTTCTCATCTAACTAGGAGGCTTTGGTTGGGACGCCTATCTCGGTAGGGCTCCCAGAAGTCAATTTGGCTGCTGGGAGCCGAAGGATATCAGAACGATTACGTTCCAGGTCCACCATTCCGTCGGACGGAGGTAACTCGAGTCGATGGAGATGGAGCTCTGCGATAGTAGGAAACGCAGACGCTCCAGGGACGAAGAGAGTGATACGTCCCAGGAGATGATGCCTCCCAAAGTGGGTAGTAGCCGTAGAGGGAGGCCACGCACGCCAGTCTCGGCCCCGTCAGGCTCTGTCTTCTCTAAGGCGGAAGCCTATAGACGCAGTGGAAGAGGAGATTGCGGATCTCCTTCAGAAGATCCGGGAGCCGATAGAAAACAGTTCCGTCTCCCTAACACCGGTGTCTTTGCAGGAGAGAGCAAACGTGGCAGTGGCCATAATACAGAAAGTGGAGACCAAATCCAGAAACCTTAAGAGTTCCTTTGTGAGGGCTCTTAAGTGCTCAATTCGCCCAGTTCCGGGCGCAGGCGGATGGCCCTGGGCAACGGGACCCGGCTCCGCGGCAGCCTGCCCCCACTCCCGGTCCCAGTGACGTCCCTGGTGACAATCTGCGCCAAATTCTTGACGCAGTGGGGCGTATGCTGGACGGGCGACTAGCGGGCTTAGAGGCGAGACTGCCTCCGGCCCCCGTTGTTCGGCCGCCGCTCGCTGCAGATAGGCGAAAGGTCACACCAGCGCCAACCTCGGTTCCCGTTGCGGGTGGTCGCGTATCGTATGCGGCGGCGGCAGTATCGGTGTCTACACCTACGGTCGCACCGAAGGCAGGACAAGTGGCCAAAAAAGCGGAAAAGACGGCGGTAAAGACGGCCGTAACTACTGCGGCTGGGGTGGAGTTCCCTCCACTCCCCACTCCAGCATCTGTGCCTGGCCCCTCTATCTCTGCCCCCACTGACGATGGGTGGCAGGTAGTTGGAGCGGCTAAGAAGTCCCGAAGGCGGGGTAAGAAGGCTGCCAACAAAACAGCCCCTACCCTGCATTCGCCTTCGGTAGCGGCGACAAATAAAAAGAAGCCGCGGAAACTGCAACGGCCCAACACCGCGGCTGTAGTGGTCACCGTATCTCCGGAGGCGGCTAACGGCGGACTGTCGAACGCGGCCGTATTTAAGAAGGCCCGGGACAGTCCCGCTAACGATTTCGGGACGGTAGGGGTCAGGATGCGCCTCGCCCAGACGGGAGCTAGAGTTCTCTTCTGAAGGCGCAAAGACGGCGGACACGTTTGCCGAAAAGCTGCGGGGAATATTCGCAGCCACGGATGGTGTCAAGATCGCCAGGCCTACCAAGTGTGCAGAGCTGCGCATCTCGGGCCTCGACGACTCTGTAACGGCTGAAGATGTCCGCGTTGCAATCCGGGAGAAGACGGGGTGCAACGCGGACAACATCAGGGTCGGCACCATCCGCCCCGGTCCAGGAGGGCTTGGCGCTGTGTGGGTCAGTTGTACCGTAGCGTCAGCCAAAATTTTGGGTGACGCAGGGAAGCTGCTCATCGGTTTCGTGAACGCTAGGATCACAGTTCTGGCGGCAAGACCGATCAGGTGTTTTAAATGCTTGGCATCGGGACACACGTCAAGTGTGTAAGTTGCTTTGACTGCAGCGGGCTATGTTTCCGCTGCGGTCGACCGGGGCACAAGGCGGCAGAATGCTCTGCTGCCCCTCACTGCCCGGCGTGTGCGGCGCGTAACAAGCCTGCCAATCACCAGATTGGGCAAAGGGGGGCTGCAAACCTCTCCGCGATTCTCGGCAGACGTTGGGGGCTAGCCAGTCGACCCAGGCTGCCTCCGGCGTCGTTCGTGCGTCGTCACCGTTGCCCATGGAGGAGGTTGTAGAGACGGTCCAGTAATGGACCAAGTCTCCAACCTCCTAGTCTAGACGAACCTCAACCACTGTGCCGGCGCGCAGGATCTCTTTCTGCAAACCTGTGTTCGTGCGCAGGATCTCTTTCTGCAAACCATGGCGCATCGGTGTTGCCGTAGCCGCGGAGGACTATTGTGTTCCTCCCCGTCCAAATTGGTTGGGTGACCGGGACGGCACCGTGGCAGTCATCGGCTCCACGGCGGCTCATTCCCCGCCCTTGTTGACAAGAGACAAGGGCACTGGATACGTTGCCGCCGAGTGGGGGGGGGGGGATCACCATATATGGTGTTTATTTCTCCCCCAACCGGAGTTTGAGCAACTTCGAGGTCTTCGTCAACAACCTGGAGACCTCAATGCGGCGACTAGCGTCTGGGCACGTCATTGTTCTGTGGGACTTCAATGCAAAATCCATTGCGTGGGGTTCCCGCAGGACGGACGCAAGGGGCGAGGCCGTAGAGGAGTGGGCGGCCTCGGTGGGCCTCTGTCTTTTAAACAGAGGCTCCACCAACACGTGCGTGCGACAGCAGGGGGGTCGATAGTGGACCTTTCGTACGCTACCCCTGCCCTCGCCGCACGAGTAAGGAACTGGCGTGTCCTGGAAGAGGTTGAGACGCTCTCGGATCATCTTTATATTCGATTTGAGCTGTCCCGGACCCAGGATCCCAGTAGGGGTCACGTGGCGCGGCGTTCCTCCCGTTTCCGCGGTGGGCTGATGCGGCCATACCCCGTATCAGAGGTCGTCGGCCTCCAAGGAAGGAGGTCTACTGGTGGTCCCAGGAGTTGGCGGACCTCCGTGCGGCCTGTACACGTGCCCGGAGGTCTTACACGCGCCGACGGCGACGTCACCGCGGAGACGGTGGGGACGATCGGCTTCATGAGGAGTACCGCGAGACGCGGAAAACTCTGAAGCTGGCCATTAGCCGCGCCAAAGAAATAAAGAGAAAGGAGATGCTGGAGGGTCTCGACCGTGACCCCTGGGGTCGTCCCTATCGCGCAGCGCAACAAAAGCTCCGTGCGTCGGAGCTTACGGAGACTCTGGAGAGTCTCCGTAAGCTCCGACGCACGGAGGCCCTCAACCACTGTCTTCAGAAAGCTGGGCTGGAGCCCAGCTTCCTGCAGACAGTGGTTGAGGGCCTTTTCGGATTCGGAAGTAAGGGCGGCTGTTCTACCGATCCGCTCCAAGAACACCGCCCCCGGGCCAGACGGGTTACCTGCCCGTGTGCTGGCCCGGGTCCTCGACCACATATCAGATCGCCTCGGGGAGGTGTTTGACGCTAGCTTGGCGTCCGAGCGTTTCCCTGAGTGCTGGAAGAGCGGGAAGCTGGTCCTGTTAAGGAAGCCGGGACGGCTTGCCGATTCGGTCGTGGCCTACAGGCCCATCGTGTTGCTGGACGGGGTGGGTAAATTGTTTGAGAGGGTACTCTCTGCCCGCATCGTCCGCCACCTCTACGAGGTGGACCCGATCTGTCGGACGCCCAATACGGTTTTCGAGCGGGGCGTTCGACGGTCGGCGCTGTGCTGCGCCTGAGGGCCGTGACCGAAGAGGCGGTGAGCTGTGGCGGCGTGCTGTTGGCGATGTCATTGGACATCGCCAACGCATTCAATAGTCTGCCATTCAGCTGCATCAGGGAAGCACTCCACTATCATGAGGTGCCAAAGTGCCTGAGACGGCTAGTGGCAGACTATTTAGAGGAGCGTACCGTCGTGTACGAGGACCGAGATGGTAATCTGAGGTGTCGGCCCATGTCGTGCGGTGTTCCACAGGGGTCTATTTTTGGACCACTCCTGTGGAACATGGGGTACGACTGGGCCCTTCGATTAGTTTTTCCCCCTGGGCTGGGTGTAATTTGTTACACCGACGACACATTGGTCACGGCCTGGGGGGCGGCACGCCTGGCCACCAGGGGAGTCTCTCTGGTGATCGGGCGCATTGAGGCGCTGGGCTTGCGGGTGGCCTTGGATAAAACGGAGGCCCTCTTATTCCATGTCGGCTCAATCGTGGCCAAATCGGTCCTCGTACCGGTTCGGGCCCAGATGAAGTACATGGGTCTGATACTCGACGGGAGGTGGCTCTTCGACGAGCACTTCCGACAGCTTGCTCCAAAGCTGGTCGGCGCTGCGTCTGCCCTAGGGCGACTTTTACCCAATCTTGGTTGACCAAGCGTCGCGACTAGACGATTGTACAAGGGGGTTGTACGTTCAATGGCACTGTACGGTGCACCGGTATGGGCGGCGGCTCTTACCGCCCAGAATAGGGCACGCCTCTGGCGCCCTCAGAGGGTATTGGCGGTTAATAGGAGGGGTCCGGATGTCTTAATAACAGCAGTTCCCGGATCCCTCCTATTCCGATCCCGCTAGTGAAGAGTGGCACACCGTGTGGTTTTAGTCGGTAAGATTCCGACACACCACCCCGCCGCAAACCCTGGTGGGGTGACGGCCCGAGGGGGTTTCCAAAAGTAAAAAAAAAAAGGGGTTTTGTGTCAAGTTTTCCTTCTCTCTGCAGTGCTGGCGTTCTGCGTAGTTTTCTCCCTTAGTCGGCTCTTACGACACCCACGGGATGAATACCACCCCGGTGACACGCTGTATTCTTAATCCGTCACCACACGGACCTCATGCCGTCTCTAACTACTTGTAAAAGGGGCTTTACTAAAGTTTCTGACCTATATAACTGCAGTAACATTCTTTAAACCTTAGGAAAAGTTAAATGATATTGAGGTATTACTTACTTTAAAAAAATGATTTTTTAGATTGCTTGTACAAACTTCTACCCCTCTATTCACCCCCTAATTAAACTGGTGACCCCCTGACTAATTGGTGAAAAATTCATAAACATTCTTAATTTCTAACTATAGGTTAAATGAAAAAACTCTTAGTCATTTTTTTTTTATTCCCTTTGCAAATTTCCACCCCCTTTTTTACACCCTATAGGGATGATTTCCAGGATGAAAACTATCCTTTGTCCTTTCCCGGGATTTAAATCATCTCTATACCAAAATGTCATCTAAATCAGTTCAGCGGTTTAAGCGTGAAGAGGTAACAGACAGACAGATACACTTTCGCATTTATAGTATTAGTATGGGTTATTTCTTACTTTTTACTAAAGCGTGTTTTTTTAGTTTGTTTACATCATCATCATCATCAGCCCATCGCAGTCAACTGCTGGACATAGGCCTCTCCCATTGCATGCCACTTAGATCGATTTTGAGCTTCTCGCATCCAGCTCCTGCCAGTCATCTTGCGCAAATCGTCACTCTACATGGCCTGTGGGCGTCCTACACTACGTTTGCCGAGACGCGGTCTCCACTCAAGAACTCGTTTTCCCCTACGGTTGCCGGTTCTGCTGCTAATATAGCCAGCCCACTCCCACTTCAGCTTGCTAATCCGGTAGGCTATGTCGGTCACCTTGGTTCTCTGCCGGATCACCTAATTCCTGATACGATCACTTAGAGAAACACCGAGCATAGCCCTTTCCATAGTACGTTGAGCGACTTTGAGCTTGTGGACCAGCCGTACCGAAGTGTCCACGTTTCGGCTCCATATGAACGGTCTTCAACCTTTGTCTTAAGGCACTGTGGGATCGATGATGAGAAGACTCGACGTAGCTTCCCAAATGCTGCCCAACCCAACTGAATTGTTATGAACACCTCGTCCTCGAAGTTGTTTCTACCTAACTGCAATGTCCTCCTGAGGTACACATAATTTTGAACAACTTTGGCACCGTGTACCGCTATCGGTTCCGGTAGTTCTTCTCTTTCGACTCTTCTGAAAAGCTTCGACTTCTTGCCCTTACGCTGTATTTTATAAAATCTCGTACCTTCTTCCCTGAGGATCTGAACCACATTTTCGAGGTTCTGGTTTACGTCGGTTGTGGTTTCCACGGCAGCGAATCGGTTTTCCAGTTTTAACTGGAACGTTTCAGACCCTGTCATGGCTTGGAGCAGAGTTGGTCGGAGCCTGGATTTCATAAAACAGTCACGTTCAGCCTTAAAGTTGATATTCAGAGCGTCTTGGACAAGTCGGTGATCACTACCGGTAGTAAATCTATTGATTACTGAGACGTCTCTGAATATGTGCTTCCTATCCGTCATTATAAAATCGATCTCATTTCTGGTCATAGCGTCGGGGCTTTGCCACGTCCACTTCCTTTGGGCTGCTTCTTGAAAAAAGAGTTCATCAAGAAGAGCCCCACCCGTTCGGAGATGTTGACTAGCATTTGCCCCCTAAGATTCCTGCTTCCAAATCCATGGGATCCTACTACCGATTCGCCGCAATTCTGTACTCCCACTTTAGCGTTGAAGTAACCCATAACAACGTTGTAGTGGGACTTAGTTTGTTTACACTATAATTTATATCTGTCATAATTTATAACTGAAAGTTTGAACTTCTGCACTTATTCAAACTTACTTGTTCTTTTATATTACTATAGTTACCGAAAGTTTTGTATTTTAATCTATTATTATTTAATCTATCTATTATTAGGTATATAGTTTATTATATATATACATACATACAATTTTCACGTGACTATTGATAATTGTTAAAATGTCTTAATCACATTCCAATAAAATTTCAGTTGTGACAACATGAAACAGTTTTTTATAACACTCGGGTACTGAATTTTGTACCTATTTAACTGAACGCAAGCCAAAACAATACAGTTCTGTAGCTACATTAATACTTTTCACTAGATTTGTAGTAAAATTCAAGAATTTCAATTCGAGATACTAGGCTTCAACAATGAAATAGTGATATTAACCGCTTATTTTCATTCAATCGTATCATGTAGGTCGTAAAATATCAAATCGTTGTAGTAACCGCATACCTATCTTAGGCGAGACTGCGTTTAGAAGCTTTCGCATCCTAGCAGCTCCAGAAGTCGTTAGACCCAGTACTTTAATTTTTTTTTTTTTCAATAATTCCATGTCCATGACCATCCTGGTTTCTTCGTAAGTTGCAACTAGTGGTGATACTTTGTTCTGAAATAAAAAGAGATATTTTTTTAAATAACTATGTGTGTCCATATTTTAATTCAAAAATTGTAATACTCCTCATACTCATAATGTACGATGTAGTACAAATAGTATAAAGAACCATTGAACCGGAAACGGAGTATCATCGTTTCAACAGATAAGTCGGTTTGTACCATCTACGTCACATACGTAATATTTAAACAATTCACAAAGCTTGTTTAAATAAGTGTTTATTCAGTCAAACTTTATACGACCAATGTAGTTTTAGAAGCACGAGATAGACTGAAGAAAGAGTTTTGATGTTCACTTCCGATGTACACAAGTGCATAAATGGCACGGCAATACTGGAGAAAAAGCATCTGACCATCGATCAACTCCTCACTGCAATTACAACTAAGAATTGGCACAGCACAGCACTTGCCCTAACTTTTAAATTCTTAATCCTCACTGCGGTAGTAGTTGAGAATCTCCCAATACTGGCCATGCGTTGTGAGTTTCATGGACAGATGTTTCACAGACAACGGTACTGCCGTTGTAATGTAAGGGAAATAAAGAATTTGGGCGACGAGAGATATGCTCTCAAGGAAAAAAATGACCTTTATACACCTCATACCGGAATAACGTCAGAGGGTGCCCAGGAAGGAGCAACCAATGAGGCCAGGTAGGAAAGGAGCTACCAAAAAGGCCGGGTAGGAAAGGAGCAACCAATAAGGCCGTTTCCAGATCCCAGGAATAGTACGAGATAATTCTGCCACGACAGTACTCACTTCAAAATCCACAATCCTATTTTTTGTTTCATTTACTAAATTTTTTATCCACATGAAGTATATTCGCCATCGCAATTGTGGAGCAATTTTAGAAAAATCTGTTTCGCGTGTAAGGCCCAGAGCGATTTCTCGAGAGCGGTGTTTCATCATATCCTGGAATATATAAATATGTATGAAACATTTATTTAGTTGATACAATAATCTTGGAACCAGACATTATGACAGAAAAGGGTTCATTTATTGCAATATAATGCTAGGACGCAAAGAACAAGTGATCTTTTTGCAATGCAGTGACAAACAAAATTTTACTTACAGAATACAGATTTATTTTTGAATTTAGTTCTGCTATCTCCATTTGTTTTTGACCCGTTTGATTGGTAATATAATCACCAACCAACTTCTTGAGGGTTAATTTTGAATCCATTAGCATAAATGATGCCATTTGTTTTTTAGCGTGTTCCAAATCGAAATTTTTATCTTCTTCCAATATTTTATTATAGTCCGTTCTCATGTCATTGCAGTCATTGTCATGATCACCAATAGAAAAGTTTTCATATTTCATTAGACATGTATTGAAGTCACTGTAATATTTATGCTTATTCTCAAATAACCAGTCCATTAAAGGGTCTTTAACATTTGGATAATGTTTGTCATAGTAATCGCAAAGCAATTGAACTTGAGGAACATCGGACATTAAATTATGATTGATAACGCCGTGGTTCAGTATATCAAGTAGTAGTAACGATTCCTGTAAATCTCTTACTGACTGTTTTAGCACACCCCTTATTTCGGAGTAGTAATTACTAGCCTTGGACGTCCGCATTAACTCAGCCTTTCGTAGATTCGTTAAATTAAATTGGTCCACGTCTTTGTTGCGGGACTGACCACCGATACGTACTATCTTATTAGTAATTTTTGAAATCTCTACCAGAAATTGGTCCAGTGCGTGATTAGTATAACATATTACGAGCATAAGGCACTGATCAGCCGAGTCAATATTTTGTAAAAGAGCTTTTGCTATATTTAAGCCCACATAAGTTTTGCCTGTACCTGGTGGACCTTGTATTACAGCAAATTCATGCGTTAGTGCAAGTTTATATGCTTCATATTGACTTTTGTTAAATTTTAGTTCGTCTTTTGTTGGCCACGAGGCAGGATTTAAAACTGTAAATTTAATTTTAGGAGTAATCCTGAATGGGAATCCTTCTTCGTTCTCTGTTTCTTCTATTATGGTATATTGGATATCATTCGTCAAATAAGCAGGTGCATCAGTAGAAGGCTGAAAAAATAAATGTTTACATAATATATAATAAATAAAGTCATTGATTTCAGGTTCTCAAGCCATGTGTTTTAGTAATACAATAAATGCTTCTAATGAACATTATTTATCAATGAAAATAGATTACATTATATTAAACTTTATTATTTAACATTGTTATATAATTCGTTTATTATTAAATTCTCGTATTTATTTAATCTCTTCAAAAATGAATATGTTCGCTTTCTTATTATGGGATAAAAGTCATCCACTCTTACCTCGGTAAACATACCGGAGGCGCAACGAAATTTAGGTTTACAGTTTTAAAGGCATTATTATACTGGACTTCTACGCTGTGTAGGTATTGCTCGTCTTAAAAGCTAAAGCTAGTGTAAAATTATTGGCAGTAACTTTTAAATAATGATTTCTTGACCTGAGCAGTACATAAATGCTAAACCTACGACTCAGCCTTTTGGACTTGATTGCAAGTGACCCACGCTCTCTTTCAACATCCATATCATCAATTTGTCTGCCATCCTAAGCGGTAAACCATATAGATAAACAGATGTTATAATGTCAGGCCCCGTAGCTGATCTAAATAGTTTAGTAATTAGTTAAAAAATATAATATTTCAAATGTTTCGATGTCATTATCTCTGTGGAAATAGATCTGTAATTTGCTGAGTCAGTACTATTCTATGTTTTATCCTTAAGAATTGGTGCAACCACTGTTTTGGGCATATTTAAGTGGAGATAGTTATACTTTAAATAAGTGTTAAAAAAAAACGCTAGTACACAATAGTATTAAATATCATACAGTAATGGCTCCACATGCACCAGATGAACATTTAGAGCGCCGTGAGCCGGAACTTTGCCATGTTCCTTACTGATTTTAAATAAGTATTAAATAAAAACTCTAGTATATCATACAGTTCAAAAAATATAGCCTGTCATGAAAACAAAAATACCAAAAAGTCAACAGGCACTGAGGATCGAACCGTCACTCTCTCGAACAATGATCATTTACACAGTGTAGTTCGCTAATTCTATGATTCTGCCACTAGTACTAATGGCAATTAAGATGAATTTTAGCATCGCTTTCAGATAGATGCTATCATCACCAAGAGTCCGATACGAAGAAAAACTATAAGTTGGTAGGTGTATTTTATTTAGTATTATGAACACATGCATGTGACCAATCAACAACTTTTGTATACGTCAGTCTGGTTATAATGCGTGTGGGCATTGAAACATCACACACAGAGATAGGCATAGAACCAGTGCGAGCGAATACGAATATTACGATAGTACTGCACTTATGACCCTTGACTGTACATTTATAAAAGGTATTCAGAAAAAAAAAAAATTGGTGGATTTAATGTCGTTTGCTTTCTCTATTAGTACAGAAGGATAATGCAGAAATGGATGACTAGGTGCCCTAAATTTAAGGAAGAAATTATATAACAAAACAAAAAAAAACATACGTTTATAAATACATACGTATTTAAATATTATATCAGTGTTACCGTTCTGATAGTCCTATTAGATTCTATGAGTAAAGAGCTTGAGAGTGGGTACGTTTCCCTTGAACGAAAGGGACTGATTTCCAGAGGAGGACAGCTATCTGTCCTCCTCTGAAATCAGTCCCTTTCGCTCAAGGGATTCTTCTATCTCTACTCTGCACTGGACTCTATAGACAGTGCAGAGTAGAGAAAGAGAGAAATATGGACACGTGCAGATATTCTGAGAAGGGCACAACAGAAGAAAATTGAGTGTACCGCAAAGCGACGTCTTATGATTGGAATTAAGGTCACAAATCGGGTGCCAATTCAACTCGAGACGAAAAGAGAAAAAAAACAAACGAGTAACAAATTTGATGTAATATTTTCTTTTATTTCGTTTTTGTCTATGAGTTTTAACCATAATCGTCTGCCACTTATTTCATTACATCGCCCAAACGTTCACTAGATGAAAATTCCTACGTACTTATTAAGTCTGTCATTATGCAAAGTATTCTCAAGAAGTTTTAATAAAATACAAAACAAGAAACAAAACAAAAAAAAAATGCCAATCTCATTTACGCATCAATATGAACATACTTAGGAGCAATTTATTGAAATAAGTGTGCCTGTATTAAGAAAAAGGTATTACTTACATTGACTTTCACTATATATTCTTGCATTGGTAATTGTTTTGAAAACGTAGGCGCCTGGAGAGCCTTTAAGACATGTAAATAAGGTTCAAAGTAAACTTCACTTTCTATCATCGTATACGAATCATCATTGCGAATATTACTCCCGTAACTTGTGTCGACTATTGATATTGCGAGCTGTAAAAGTGTTTATCTTCTTAGGTTAGCTCAGAAGGTTAGCATTGCTTAATACATTTCTCTTTGTTTTACAGCCATCTACATTATACAGGGCAATGTTCATACAAAAGAACGTTCGTACGATCGACTTCTAGAATCTCTGTTGCAAACTTGTAAGTAGCGACAATACTACGCGATAATAATTCTACAGTATCTTTATTTATATAATAAAAAAAGCCGTTTGGTGTCGTGTAACACCCGATAGGAACGAAGTCATAAATTTTGGTCAAAGTAAGTTTTTTTTTCGGTATATTTTTTTTTCTATCTAAACAAAAAAAAATGATTTTCTATTGAACTTCAGCTAGTTGTGTACAGAAATTCAGATATTTTTTATTAAAAAATTGAATAACTCTAATACTATTGATTATATTATAGAAAAACAAGACTGGTCTCATTTTATTCCTTATTACATTCTCTAAAAATCATACGCATCATGACTCAACCTCCGATGCGTTGTTCTCAAGGTATTAAATAAAAATGAGCAATGCAAGAGAATCGCTCTGCATTTACTGCCTGTAGATCCGTCTAGGATATATGGGTGTTTCGCCTAGTTCGTGCAAATTCAGTGAAAATTCTAAATTTCAAATTATTGTCAAAAAACTTTTTTTTTTTTTTTTCTTATTTCATTACTATATAGTTAATTCTTCAACCTTTTATTGTTTCTACCTTATAGAATTGGAATGAGATAGTAATGAGAATGTTAAGGAGGGGAATGATTTTGAGCCGTTAGCTGTGGGAAATAGGGGTGCGAAGGTAATTGAGATAAACAGAAGGGAATGACACAAAATTTTGTAATACAAAGATGCATTTTTAATATTTAAGATTCAAGAATCTAATTGCTATAGAAATAATAATCATAACATAATATGGGCCATTTCTCCATGCCTTCCTTATAAAAATTCTTTATTAATCCAATCAAAATCTAATTTATCTAAATATTTATATTAATTACTAGTATTTGGTAATCCGAGAACAAGAATAAGAAAAGTCTCTCTTTATAAAATCTTAAAATCATTTCACAGATTTGTATCTTCTTGGTCGGTGTCATAATTCCAAAAGTCAATTACTCGTAATTTCTTCTGCTTTTCATATATTTCGTCTTTATTTTCTTTTGTGTAATTTTCATTACTACTCTTACCCATAATAAATTTTTCAGTCTGTTTGATAATTATTACTAATATGTTTTTTTATTAGCAAGATTTTCCTTATTAATGTAAAAATTTCTATTTTCCCAATCAGTCAAATTTATATCCGACAGTATTTTAACCTTTGGTGAGTACGGTCTATTTGGCAATTTATCTTCGAATCTGATTGATGGTTCAGAACGAGTAATTGAAAAATCTGGGTTGCTTATTTCTTTTAGGAGTTCTGGTGTTGTATTCTCATCAATAAAACTCTGAAACTGGCTAGAATTGACGTCATCATAAAAAGTATTCCTTTTCATGACGACGTCAATTCTAGCCAGTTTCCAATATGTTTATTTACATATTGGATACTATGGATATGGATACTTTTTTGTCACACAGAAAACAACTTAATTTTCTTAAAGTAATTTTAGAACATCCAAATGCCCAAAGAGCTTAGTGTACCATCATTGTACCTTTGGCATCTTTTAAGTTTGTTGGAAAATTTCTTGTTTCAATGTCATATCTTGTTACAATACGTATCTCAATCTTTACTCTAGGTATAAGACAGGCTAGAAATGTTTCTAAGGAGTTCACGTCACTGCCAAAACGAAGTACTTGATCTGCTGTTCTTTTGAGAACAGCACCAACTCCGTCTAATGTTCCTTTTCCTTGTCCAGCTTCAAAGAAGTTCCAGGTCACAGATTTTAGTTGCAGAAAATTGCGATACATCTGGCTGATCAAATAAAAAATAAAACGATTTCGATATTGACTTATTGGACTGTCGGAAACAAAATGTACGGTGTCGATCTGGCTTGAAAGCTCCATCACATACGCAATAGTCGGTATCAAATGTGCCCAGACAGCTGCTGCATCGTGTTGGGTACATTCACTTACTGTGCAAAAGCTATATTGTTTTTGAATGCCAACTTCTGGATCTATAAAATAGATAACACATGTGTGCAATGATAACTGCATCCTACTTCCACCACAATGAAAACTCTGCATTTCCTCGTTATATTTTACGCAGTAGTTCTCACTAAAGTCAACATGAATCACTGCTTCTTATGAATTAAGATTATTTTTAAGCTCTTTAACATTTCTGTACTGAGTTAAAATATTAGTGCAGTGTTTCATATAGCCAACGAGAGAGTTTTAAAATTTTGAAATATAATATTTCGTTTTGTCCACAAATCAACATTAACGTGAACTTTGCAAGCACACATATTTCTGCTTGATTCCTTTGGGTATAAAACCCAAAATGGACGATATTTACAAAAGGTTTGATGCGTTACCTTGACATTTGAATTATGCATAAACTTCTTGTAAAGATTAGTCAATGTGTCTGTTAAGTATCTTTTCTGCTTTCTTATTTTGTTTCTAGTAATGTATTCTCTTATATCAGCTGCAATTATAGTTACTGAGTAATCATCGAAAAACTCCAAAATTAATTGCTCTGTTAAGTTCTCACTCTTATGTGTTTGCGTCAAGAGCTTATATTTTTAATTTTTTTCTTTTTCAGTCACTACCACATTATAAAACTCTTTTTTATCATTTTTTTTTCAAACACGTATACTCTTTTTGAACACTACTTCTAAGAATTTCGCTAAACATTAGTTTTTTCTTAATTTCTTCACGTTTTTCAATGCCTTCATTTTGTACCAAATATTCAATTTTCCTTCAGTCGTTATATTTGCATTTTTCTTCTCATTTTTCATTACTCTATAAAACATTTTTCTAATGGTGTCTTTCTGTTTTTTCATTTTTTCTATGTCTTGTTTAAAAATGCCGATTTCTTTTTTATGTCGGTAGCGAAGCTTTCTTAGAAGGACATTCTTTTTTAGGCACTGTTGACAAGAGTTATGGTTACCGGAACCCAAACAATTTAAGGAAGAACTTGGTAATGGGCTTACAGTTGGTCTAGCGAGAGGATCTTGTTTCGCTGAGATTACTTCAATGTCACTATTTAATGGAGAATTCTCTAGTAATAGCTGTTGTATAACTTTTTCTTTCTTTTTCCTTTCTCTTACTTGTCTCGGTGTCATATCTGCTGCGCTTTTTATATTTTCCGTTCTTTTCTTTTAAGATACCTTACTCGTTCTTTTACTTTCTCTTTTGCATACTTTTCGGTGTCTTACTTTATTTCTGCATATTTCCTTTTTTTTGTAGTCGATCTCGCTCTCGTTTCTGCTCCAATGTTTGTTTGGTTTTCTTTGGCATCCTTAGCGATCTATATAAGTAGTAGTAGTAAGAAACGTTTTATTTGCTTTATTTATTTTTATTATGCTTTATTTTTTTAAATTATAATAATTGTATTTTTTTGCTTAGCCAGTTATCGTCACAGTTGGCAAACATAATTTTGCAAAAAGAAAATAGCAAATAAAAATGAACTAACATAAAATACATTCTAATTGCCATCGTCTTAATCTCATTACCATCGCTCAAAAAAACGACGGTAAACGAAGGCACTGAGAAAGAATGTAATGAGGTTTGAATACTTTATCCATAGTTTCCCAAAAAATATCAAAATAACGGACCTAATGCATATTTTAAACGACAAAGGTATCTATTAAAATTTAAAATTAGCTGCACACTGAATAAAATCATAAATACTCACTTAATAGTGTGGACGATAGGAAAGAGTACGATTCCAGAATAATCACCTCCCGCAAAACTCTAAACGAAAATATATTTTTTCCACGAACAAGCATGCACCTGCTACGATGTTTGCCAGCCAAATGAGAGATGTGCGCGGGGTATGGTAACAGCAAAGAAGCATTTAAGGTCAAACCCAGACTGCAATTAACACTTTCTTACGAACCGATGGTTATCAGAAAAAAAATGTGCTAAACATATATAAAATAAAATTTCATTGTATTATTGAGTTAATATTAATTATTTTAAGTTCAAACGTTGCTCTTGTTATTACAGTTTCTTAAAATTATTACTTTGTTAAGGTTTGATATTTATATTTTAGATTTAAATACAATTTTAATAGGGAGAATAGCAAGTGGACACCGAAGTAAATGAGATTTAGCAAAGTTTTTTACGTATAACTCATTAAATAAGCTATGTGGAACAGTAAATGTTACATGCATATAAGCACAATTTTATAACATATGATTTGATTTAAAAGAATCATAGATATTTATTGAAAAAATTAAGATTTTTGCAATGGACGCCTAATTTGCACGAAAAATGAGAAACACCCATATAGGCAGTAAATGCAGAGCGATTCTCTTTTCTCGTGAAATCCCTCTCGCCACATCGTCCATAACAAACTTAGTTCCAAAATGTTTTTAGCTATAATTGTAAAATGTTAAATAAAGTTTATAAATAAATAAATAAAATATAAATTCAACTAGACTTTGTGACAAATATATTTTAAACTTACCTTGCCTGTAGACAAAAGTATATTATCCCTTTCTAAAATGGTAGCGACGATAACGTTACTAAAATTATCTTTAGTAAACAACACTAGTGAACCAAACAGCAATCTCTTGCTGTGAGACCAGTTTATTTTTTTAAAATGCTTATTATTTTCAATATCGATTTGTACCAATGTACCCATTTTGAAATTTGATATATACGGTCCACCAAACTTAACGTTGCGAATAATGCTGAAAAAACGTATGTAACGTAGTATGTAGTTTTTTCCTTTTTTCTACTTGATTATTTAACAAACTGCTAAAGAAACTTACCGAACGTGGTCATATTTGCGTTTAGTTGGATTTGACAGGTATTGATCTGTTGGAAGAAAGTACCCATTAATATACCATCTAAATCATATTCGCTGAACTATTTCCACTTTTTCTGATAAGGACATTCCATACGTTCGTTAAACTCAAGTCATGTCATTAACATGATAAAGAACAATGGCAGGTCTCCATACAAAAAAAATATATTTGGAATCAAATTGCATCGTCTTGTAGTGAAAAAAATTTCAAATAAAATTTTTTAGAATCTATGTGTAAAATAATTTTTGTTTAGAAAAGGCTAGGAAAAAAGTTATTAGTATTTGACTTTTTTAGTTTCGCACTGCATTTTTTATCATTTATACAGACTATAAATGATAAAAAATGCAGTCTTTGGAGTCTTCTATATCAAATAGCTGCATAATGTTTAATTTATTTTATCTATGGCTATCGACTTTTCAAATTGGTTTTTGTATTGTTTTACATAATTATTTGATAATTATAACAATATGTGTGCTATTTAAATTAAATAAAAAAGATAATAAAGAATTATTATAGTCCACGAGCTGTAGAACTTTAGAAGGTTATATTTTTTTGTCACTTTGTACATATCCATATATAATTTCAATATTAATTAAATTATCGGCGGCGGTCATCCGCCGCCTGTCGCATCGGACGTTTGTCTTTATATTTGAAGTAATTTAAACACAGAGCGCAAACGTCAGTCAAGAGTTGTCAAAAACCCTTTGCTTATTTCAGCTTGCTGTTGCTACTATTCTTTTTACTTTCCTACATTTCAACTAAAGGATTTTCAAATACGTAAATAATGCGTTTAATAATGCACTACAAATTACATTATTTATTGATTCGGTACTAACAATTATAAAACTATTCTCTGATTACCATATTAAGTGATTGCCATATTACTACACTTTATTGGACAGTATTTTCACTACTTGAAAAAAATGGCTGTAATATGGTAACACTAAACTCATAAAGGAAATAAAAATAAGAAACTTATAATATTTTACTTTCTTTTCAAGGGGTTTTACTGACTTAGACGATAATTCCAAAAAAACATTGATATTTACTAGAATTAGTTTCCTATAAATGACGTTCACAAATCACAAAACCGATTTAAATGAAATTTGGCATGGAGATAGTTTGATTCTTGTGGAAAGACATAGACGTGGGCAAAAGCTAGTAATAAATAAACATTTTCGGACATCTGCCATCTTAGTTTCAAACTCACACAAAGCCATCTTAGTTTCAAACTAAACAGAGCTTGTAATATGAAAGTTAGATTTTGACTGATAGAATACTTATATACTTTTTACGTAAATATATACATATTATACATAGAAAATACTCAAACTCCGGAACAAATATTTGCAGAGCATACATACATTTGGTAAATAACAAATAAATCTTTATAAACTAGGTATATGTTTGTATAACAAGTTACCTTTATTCTTCAAACGATAATCTCTTACTTACTATCTTATAAGTTTGTATATTTTTGTAAGTATATTTTTATGTTTTATATTATTAGATAGATATGAACGTATTTAATAGTTTACTAAATAATATAATTAGCAGTATCATATAAGTGTAGATACATACTGATGCCCACTCTTATTGGTCCAAAACAATCTTCTCTTAGGAGTCTGAATTGAACGTCTAAATAATGTTCAACATCAGAGTATGCGCCGTTGACGATATTTGGTCGCACGAACGGTTGAGCGTCCAATAAATCTTCCCGCGTTGGTATCACACTTAGCTCACGGAAATCGTCAGGCGGTTTTACATCGATATCGCCAACAAGCATGTCAACACCATTTCGGTTTACTTCAGTTAGAGGCTACGGTTTTAAGAGTAACTTATTTATACATTTATCTTTTTAAGCTATTTGTTTAATCATTAAATTGTGCAATAATTAAAGATCGAAATGTAAAAGTTTTGAAATTGCATCATCACCATCAACAGCCTTTAGTAGGCCACTACTGGACATAGACCTCTCCAGAAAGGAGGTTTTGGCCTACTGTACCACGCTTGTTCGGAATTCGGTTTGTGTCAAGGCTTACTTCTCTTTGCAATGCTCCTGCGTAGTTTCCTCCCTTAGTCAGCTCTTACTTACGACACCTGCGGGATGAACAGGGGTGATGACACTCAGTATTCTTAATCCGCCATCACACGGAAATAAGCTTTAAAATTATATACAACAATAAAATATATTAACTTTCAATATTTAAAAATCTCATTCCTCTGTTCGCGCATATACGTGAACATAATGTTTTTATATTTATAGCATAACTATCTGCACCGAACTGAGTGGCGCTTGTATACTGACCCATTTTTTATATAAATAAATATATATAAAACACTTAGACCAATGGATTAAGCGTTCTGATGTTTCCAAATGAATGAATGGGAATCAAACCGTCTTTGACACGACTTACCTTGTCAGCATAATTTATTAACTTATTTCTTAGCTCCTCGAATCTCAACGCATCTTCTTCTAATAACACGAATGCATGTCTTGTATTCAGATATTCCAAACATGTTTTGGATACACTTTCTATTAACGCTCTACATGTTCTTATGGCTGTAGTTGGAGATATATTTACTATATCCTGACAAAAGGTTATGTAGTTCTTCCAAAAATTGTTTTGATTGATCCAATACATGCTATTTTTTGATTTATCGACAGTGTAAGGTAAATCTGTTAGGTAATTTCTTAAACATGCTATAAAGTTGGAGTTACAGACATCCAAAAACAATTGTGATTTCATCGCTTCAAATGGCGACTGTGAAATTTTGGATAGTATTTCAAATACGAGTACTATCATGTCGAAACGGTGAATAGGCGAATTGAGAAGATCCATAAAACCCTCTTTGTGTTCGTTTAGAGCCAGAAATATGTCTGATGTATTGGAATTGGCTATTTTTTCCAATATTATAAAACCCATACATCGATATCGATCGCGAGCAGTACCTCTATACTTTGAATTAGATTGGCTTTTATGGTCATGGGTCGTTCCTTGTAAATCTAAAAAAAAGTATTACAGTCAACATTACGAACTTGGTATAAAGAATTATCTGAAACTATACTCTGTCTCTTTTATCAATATTATCACCTTTTGGTGTTTTTACCGACTCATAATATAAACATAGCTTTAGGGATAGTGAAAACGTTAGAAATTCGAAAGATTTTGTCTTTAAAATTATTGCAACAACAATTGATTGTGTAAATAGTTTACAGATAGAAAGATGATTATCACTTCTTTCTTTTTTGTTCTTGTCTAAGGAATATTCATTTGCAGGAGCTTTTAGTATCGCAGCACGTAATATTTTAGTGACTACCAAAGCGTTATCGCATTTATTTATTTTAAACTTAATGCACATGTTGTACAAAGATGGACTTAATGCCATTAGGCATTCTCTCATAGTCAACCTTCAGGTGATGTAGAAATATGATGCGGTAGGTGCAAATAAAATTTTAAATTTAACATAATTGAAGTCGGGAGACATACGAAAGATGAGTATGAAAGATGAGTTTGATTCTCCATTTTATAATCTGCATATTATTGCACCTTTCACCTCAATCGTAAATGCTTTACGGCGATAAGATGACATTTTTTTCACAGTATGTACAATGAAAAACACAAACGACAAACGAAAAACAATTCGACACCTTCAAGCGCCAATTACTCACTGAGACTCAAAACAAAAACGAGCCACGTGCCGAACGTCGTCGGGAATCAACGAACATTACCGGAGGTGTAAAGAATCATGTCGGTCATTATAACCGGACTTAATTTATTAAAAATGAGTCATAATAAGCGACATGTCACTGTAAGGGAAGTCATTATATCAGACTTTTTTATAAAGAATTTTATATGAAAACCAAACTTCGTAGTGTAATTACGTCATAATAATTGGTTGGTCACTATAGGCGGAGTCATAATAAACGGATTCTTTTTTTTTTTTAACGGGGTGGAAGATCCTCATGGATGTCCTTCGCCCAGTGGGGAATAGCAAATGGGTCTGTCGGACTCTTACCGACTAAAAACCACCTCGGTGATCCTCTCCTTGCCAATGGCCGGTTAGCGAGAATCGCAATTGCATTCTTTCGCCACCCCCGAGAGGCATTGGCCCGTCTCACCTAAGACGGGTCTCGTCACCTGTTGCGACCGTTACCTTTCGGTCGCAGTCCTCTAGGAATGCACACGGAACACTGTGCGCTCCCTCTGTATCTGTTCGGACGACGAATCCCCCGAAGTCGTCGCCCGCAGGCCACTTTCTAAGGTGGCCGGAGATGGACAAGTGCCCTCCGGCGCCCGGTGCGCCTTCTGCGGGTAGAGACAGCGATGTTGCGTTCTCTCTTCCGTCCTGCCGCTTCCTTTGTGGACATCACATGTTTGCAAAAGGAAGCGAAGGCGCTCCATGCACTCTCGCTGCGGACCATGGATAAAACCAAGATCGGAAGCGAGAGGCTACCCGCAGAACTGACTGCTGCGATAAGATCACGACGCTGGCTAGCCCAAGATGAGTATTCCGCCAGCGTGTGCAGCGATATGTCGTCAGGACAGTCGTCACAGTGATGGCACCGTGACGTCGGCTCCCGGCCGATCCGACATAAGTACTTGCCGAAGCAACCATGTCCGGAAAGCACATCCGGAAGGTGAGAGCTCCGTGTTTCCTCTCCAGCCACTCGTAGGACGGGTCTTACCGCCGCTTCAAACGGATTCTACTGTAACTACATTTAATTTTGTAGATACTTAAATCATAATCAGAAATGAATTGTACATTTTTCTTTACCTGAATTGTCTGTTGTAGGCCTTGCTTGTCTCGCATAATGGTTTAAATTGCCATCTGCATTTCTTTTATTTTCAGTTGTCCTTGTTTTTGCAGGTCCTGTAAGTAGGAAATATTAAAACATATGAGTAAAAAGAAGGTTGGCAATATGAGCCTTTAAGTGATGATAGCAACCCTTGGAAAGTACCTACATTTGTACTTCTATCATAATCAGAAATGAATTGTACATTTTTCTTTACCTGAATTGCCTGTTGTAGGCCTTGTTTGTCTCGCAAAATGGTTTAAATTGCCATCTGCATTTCTTTTATTTTCACTTGTCTTTGTTTTTGCAGGTCCTGTAAGTAAGAAATATTAAAACATATGAGTAAAAAGAAGGTTGGCAATATGAGCCTTTAAGTGATGATAGTAACCCTTGGAATGTACCTACATTTGTACTTCTATCATAATCAGAAATGAATTGTACATTTTTCTTTACCTGAATTGTCTGTTGTAGGCCTTGCTTGTCTCGCATAATGGTTTAAATTGCCATCTGCATTTCTTTTATTTTCAGTTGTCCTTGTTTTTGCAGGTCCTGTAAGTAGGAAATATTAAAACATATGAGTAAAAAGAAGGTTGGCAATATGAGCCTTTAAGTGATGATAGCAACCCTTGGAAAGTACCTACATTTGTACTTCTATCATAATCAGAAATGAATTGTACATTTTTCTTTACCTGAATTGCCTGTTGTAGGCCTTGTTTGTCTCGCAAAATGGTTTAAATTGCCATCTGCATTTCTTTTATTTTCACTTGTCTTTGTTTTTGCAGGTCCTGTAAGTAAGAAATATTAAAACATATGAGTAAAAAGAAGGTTGGCAATATGAGCCTTTAAGTGATGATAGTAACCCTTGGAAAGTACCTACATTTGTACTTCTATCATAATCAGAAATGAATTGTACATTTTTCTTTACCTGAATTGCCTGTTGTAGGCCTTGTTTGTCTCGCAAAATGGTTTAAATTGCCATCTGCATTTCTTTTATTTTCACTTGTCCTTGTTTTTGCAGGTCCTGTAAGTAAGAAATATTAAAACATATGAGTAAAAAGAAGGTTGGCAATATGAGCCTTTAAGTGATGATAGTAACCCTTGGAAAGTACCTAAATTTGTACTTCTATCATAATCAGAAATGAATTGTACATTTTTCTTTACCTGAATTGCCTGTTGTAGGCCTTGTTTGTCTCGGAAAATGGTTTAAATTGCCATCTGCATTTCTTTTATTTTCACTTGTCTTTGTTTTTGCAGGTCCTGTAAGTAAGAAATATTAAAACATATGAGTAAAAAGAAGGTTGGCAATATGAGCCTTTAAGTGATGATAGTAACCCTTGGAATGTACCTACATTTGTACTTCTATCATAATCAGAAATGAATTGTACATTTTTCTTTACCTGAATTGCCTGTTGTAGGCCTTGTTTGTCTCGCAAAATGGTTTAAATTGCCATCTGCATTTCTTTTATTTTCACTTGTCCTTGTTTTTGCAGGTCCTGTAAGTAAGAAATATTAAAACATATGAGTAAAAAGAAGGTTGGCAATATGAGCCTTTAAGTGATGATAGTAACCCTTGGAAAGTACCTAAATTTGTACTTCTATCATAATCAGAAATGAATTGTACATTTTTCTTTACCTGATTTGCCTGTTGTAGGCCTTGTTTGTCTCGCAAAATGGTTTAAATTGCCATCTGCATTTCTTTTATTTTCACTTGTCCTTGTTTTCGCAGGTCCTGTAAGTAGGAAATATTAAAACATATGAGTAAAAAGAAGGTTAGCAATATGAGCCTTTAAGTGATGATAGTAACCCTTGGAAAGTACCTAAATTTGTACTTCTATCATAATCAGAAATGAATTACACATTTTTCTTTACCTGAATTGCTAATTGTAGGCCTTGCTTGTCTTGCGTCATGGTTTAAATGGCTTAAATTGCGATCTGCAGTTTTTTTTTTTTTTTTTTTAAAGACAACGCCCGCATTAGGAATAAATCCTGTGTCGCGGGGGACTTTACAAACATACATGAAACGGACACAAAGAACACCCAGACTCAGAACAACAATTTGTGGATCACACAAAGTGTCGTCCCATGTGGGGTTTGAACCCACAACACTCGGCGTAGTAGGAAGCGGCGTGGCGACCGCTTAAATAACTACGCCATCCGTGCAGTCGTTCTATTATATGTAATCAAATGTGTCCTTCTATTTGAAGGTCCTGTAAGCATAGATTTATCTAATTCATTAAATTCAAAACTGAAATATGCTTCATCCATAAAAAACACACAATAATATACACTTACACCTAAAACGAAATGAAATGCCATTTTCTCTAAGTTGATAACTCACATGTAAAGCTACACCATTACGATATAAATCTTATTAATAACCTTAAAGAAGTTCTGGATTAAATCTTTTTAGGTTTTGTAAGTAACCACTCAATATTTGAATTAAAACTCACACATGAAAACATACGTACAAAATATACACAAGATTGCACAATTGATGTGACATTGCCCAGGAGGGTACTTTTTAGAAATATAGAAGTATTTGACAAACAATTAAGTACCGTTTATTATTTGATCCACGGTACAAAATTTCATTGTGTGCCTGGCAAGACTACATGAGTGTCTATAATTACTGTCACTTCAGTTGGCCCTCAAACTGTGTTAAAGTTGGTGGTGTGTTTAGTGGGCCAAAGTGCATGTGAAAAACTTTTCATCAATCTGGAGTTGCTGTTGCCGCAGGTAAGTAATTCTTTAACCAGACTTAATTTGTAGCTTATTATTATTATTTTTTATCTTAGGAAAGCTTACAGACTAATATTAACATACACTGCTGAGTAACGCTTAAATTGCTAATAAATAGCTTCCAAATATAAATAACCTAATAAAAAACCACAGTTATACATAATATTCCCAGTTGATCTGAACAGCAAGTGTCAGCAAAAAAATAAAAGCGAAAACTAAATTATAGGCAACACAAAAAAAAAACAAATAAAATAATAATTAAAACAGATAAACAAGGTAATTTAGTAGGCATATCTACCGGTCACTGCCAAAGAAATATTTACTGAAAAGTCTTTTGACTGTAGTCGAGTTTGTACAAAACAGATCTAAGTCCAACTTTGATGCCACATCAGTATAGCTCTCAGCAGCACGCAAAAGATACGAGTTCCGCCTATAGTTAGCTACAGCAAAGGGAACGTGTAATAGGGGACGATGCCTAAAAACTAATTGATTCGTTCCAAGTGTGATATAGGCCAAATCCTCCTTTCTAAGGAGAGGCTTATGTCCAGCAGTGGACTATTAAAGGCTGTTGATGATGAAGTGTGATATTGCTCAGCAATTCTGGACAATCAATGGTACCATTGGCGATGTTTATCAGGAAACATATGTCACTAACAGTTCGTCTCTGTTCCAAAGGCAAGAAATGATAACGCTTGCAACGTTCATTGTAATCGGCAGAGTATTGTTGGGCTTTATTATCTAAGTAACTCAAAAACTTTCGCTGAATACCCTCTATGCGCGATTTATAAACTTGATATTGTGGGTTCCATACCTGTGACGCGTATTCAAGAAGACTACGTACATTTTTGGTATTGGTATTGGTTGTGGGCTTCGGTTTCCGCATTTAGACTCAGAGTGGTCCTTTATGCGTCGAGGATTGGTTGACTAGGTGAGCCAGCCAAGCTCCTTCCAGAAGCGCAGAAGCCTCCTGGGGCGTTCACAGGCTTCTAGGAGCGACTTTATATCAGGAATGATACTTGCCCGTTGTGTGGCCACTCCCTCGCATTCCAGGACTACGTGGACGGCCGTTTCTTCAGCTTCCAGACATCCCCTGCACAGGGGACTGTCTGTCGCATTGATTATGAATAGTTGTCGGTTCAGGGCTAGATGTCCTGTAATAGTTCCGACGACCATTCTGATTTCCGGTCTGCTAAGACTGATCAGTCTGCAGGTGAGTCGTGGTGTGACTTGATTCAGCACCAGTTTGGACTGTCTGCAGCCGGGTGAGTTTTTCCACCTCCGGTTGTGTGCTTCACAGGTCCGTTGCCTGACCCAGCATCGTATTTGGTTAAACGATATGGGCAGGAGTGGAGTTGGGCCAGAGGTTGGGGTTGCCGAGCCCCTCCTTGCCAACTCATCTGCGGCATCGTTCCCGTGTGAGTTACTGTGCCCTTTAATCCATTGGAGGATTACCCCATTGAATATAGCGAGCTGTTCCAGTGCTTGGTGGCATTCGAAGACAATACCAGAGGTCATTGTGTTGCCCTCCAATGCCTTTAAGACGGCCATGCTGTCGGATATTATTCGGATGTTGTAGTCCTTGATACCCCTTGATATGGCCGTTGTGGCAGCGTAAGTTATTGCCACACATTCACATTGAAATATGGAACTGTGTTGGCCTAACGCTAGTGATATGTTTATATTTAGGTCTTGCGAGAAAATTCCGGCTCCAGTTCCTGACCTAGTCTTGGAACCGTCCGTGTAAATTCGGACTTCGTTAATGCCGGATTGATCTCGGTCATTTCCATGTATCTGGATGTAGTATCTTCTTGTGAAGATATGGTGTTTTGGGATTCTATCGCATGGAGCTGCTATCAGTGGTTCGTATTCTACCAATTAATCCCATAACTTAGAGTGCGATCCCTCACGTTTGTGCCATAGACCCAGGTGTTTGAGTCTAATGATCGCCATGGCGGCCTCCTGCTGTATGAATAGATCCAGGGGTGGCAGACCAAGAGCCACCTCCAGTGCGGCAGTAGGCGTTGTGCGCATACAGCCAGTGACCGCGGAGCATGGGAGTCGCTGGAATTGCTGCAGTTTGTTTATCACGGTGCTTAGCTCTGTTCTCTGCCACCAGACAACAGCACCGTAAGTGATTATTGGTCGTATGCCTGTCCTGTATAGCCATAAAGTGATTTTGGGTGATAGTCCCCAGCTTTTGCCGAGTAGCCGCTTGCATTGGCAGAACTACGTACATAGGCGCAGTATAAATTTTTGACAGTTTTTGAGATCGGAAACATGTAGACATTCTCACTACAAAACCCAGTGCTTTCAACGCTTGTTTTGTAATATGATCGACGTGCATGTCGAATAAAAGTTTCGAATCCATCACCACACCAAGGTCCCTAATGTGATCTACCTTCTTAATAAATTCATTGTTTAATTGGTACCCAGACCCAATTGTAGATTTCCGGCGTGTAAAGAAGATATAGCAACATTTAGCCACGTTAACGTTTAAGGTCAAGCTTATTTATTTTGCAGTAGGTTACAAAGTTGTCCAAATCACTTGTAGCTGCTCGACATCAAAGGAATTATGAATTATTTTAAGAATCTTCATATCGTCAGCGTATAAGAGTATTTGCGAGTTCTGGAAACAGCTATTAATATCTGTAATAAATATTATGAATAGCAGAGGGCCCAAAAGTGATCCCAGATGGGATTGAACACCAACAAGAGGTAAAACCTCTTATTATTAACAATGCTTTAATATTTAATAGAATATAACTTCTAATAACCAAAAAATGATGGTGGGCAATGTCAAATTACTTTTACTGAAGCATTATTTACGACTTTGAACACCAAGACATTACCGCTAGGGTTGTCATTTCCATGTTTAACCAACTAAATAAAGAGGAGGTTCCATATTCGTCTGCATGTAAGGGTTTTTTATGTATGTTAACCGATTTTTCAACCTCAATAATTTATTGCATTATTATAGAATGGAGAGAGATAGAAAATGGTTGAGTGTATAATCAAGATAATTATTTATATTTTAGAATGAAGGTTGGAAGGACACAAACCATAAGAAAAAGGAGAAGAATTTTTGGATCGAGAACATTAAAGATTATTCAGACGAAATGTTAGAATTAGCTGTTTACATGGTTCAACATAAAAGAATGTCAAGCAGAGAAGCTGAAAAAAGGTTTGGAATCTCTCGACGGACCATATTAAATAAAGTAAGAAATCGACACATGAAATCTGCTGGAGGACAAAGAAAACTGGCAAAGGTATTGATAGTTTCGGCAGATTATGGCAGTCGTATAATGTATAAAATGTTAGTTTACAAATACGTAGATAAAAACTCACGATTTGTTTGATGGCAAATTACCCAGCGATACCTGGGTAGATGGATTTTTGAACAGACAGTTCGATGTTGACCATTAGAACGACTCAAAATATAAAAAAGTCTGTGCTGAAAAAGGATTAGAAGAAATGGATAATTTCTTTCAAAATTTATGAAGGAACGAATTTGTGACAATCCAGGTACTTCAAAGTGTGTTTTTAGAAGAGGTGTAAAATATCCTGATAGGATATTAAAGAGCACAAAAACTTGAATGCCTACCAACATTTGTACGTGGTGTACAAATCTAGAAATTTGTACTCTGAATGGCTTGAAGGAGGTCCAGATAATACCAGATACAATTCTTCTAAATCTGGCTGGTTTGATACAGCTACTTTAAATATATGTATCTAAAATATATGGAACATATTATTTTACTACATTTTAAGACTTACTAAGTACCTTTTTATTATTATATTTATTTTTATTAAATAATAACAGTACCTTCACTACCAAATAAACGCAATTACGTAGTAAAAATATTTTTATTCCTTACTTTATTCATCGTTAAATATCAAACCCGAGGGAATTCGGGCAAAGTTGCAAGGTTTGACGATATCTGTCATAATTATATGCATTATTAATATTACAGTCGTCACAAAATAAGAAGC